CCAACCGTTGCTTTAAACTTAAGATTTACTTAGTACTCGAGATGAAAGAAAATTCAGATAAAGCCATAGAGTCCTGCTTGAAGCTTCATTTTTGGTTGAAGGCACTATGTATGATATCAAAGAAAATTGAATGAATTCCTATTTCTACATCCAAACTCAGGTTTCTTCTACATTAGGTTGAATTGAAATCTTGGTGATGGTTCCGGCAGACTTTTTCCTTAAACCAAGTATAATCTAAGACATCAGATTAAGCACTGTGCAGCCTTTTAACAAAAGACCACTGTGAGAATAAAGTGCTAAAATAAACTAAATCATTCACTGATTTAAAAAGTACAGAAAGATTTTGAGTAAATTTAGCTCCCAGCAAGCTGCTAGCTTTATTTTTGTAAAGATTATGTCAGTTAAGAGTTAAATGGTTAATCATGGCCTATAAACTTTTAATATAATACAATGATACTTTTACAGTGAAGACAAGAAAATTTAAAACTGTCCGTGTAATACTTACATCATTTTGGGAAATACTTGATTTTTCCATTGCACTCACCTATTAAGCTTTTCTTTGGGGAAATCCTGCAAATAATTCTAACATTGTCGTTTGATTTCCAGCTTTGGGAATGGGTGTACAGTGCCCTGTGTGTGTTCCTGGCTAACGCTCAGGGTAACTTCCCCAGCCCAAGGTAAACACTTTCACGGTTGAAAGTCAGAAGAAACAGGATAGGGAGGAAATGTTTGTTTATTATGTAAACATGACTTAGAGAATTCTGGACAATGGATGGATTAAAGGCATTTAATATTTGTAATTCAGACTAACTGTAGAATTGGCCCTAAAGCATGCTGCAGAATTAATAATTTATATCTTCATTATTATAAATGTTGATATTAATGATCTTGCATTTGATTGTGTCAAATTCGTCACCATTTCATAGCAACAGTATTGTTTTTTGTTTTTCTTCTCTAACTTCCCTAAAATCACCTCCTTTAATAGGGATAGAAATTATAATTAGAATCAGCTATCTCTTTTATCCCCACACATCAATTATTTTATCAATACTAGATAAGCATTCACATGATGACTTCATGGATACCTACAACTGAGAAGAAAGTGACAGAAGATTATTTTGACTTTAGTTCAAATAATGTCCCTCAGTCTGGGTAAATGATAATAAGTTCACATATTTGAAATAAAATCTCTGAAAAGATTAAGCATATTGAAATGCTATTAAAGTGGAGAGCAACAGCGCTTGAGTGTTTCACACTTAAGTTAATGTACACATTTGGATGATGGTTTTCCTTGCTAAATAACATATTGTTAATATTTTCACTTTTTTCAGACATACTGTAATTTAAAATTACTATGAGCACTTGTAAATTCACAGAAAACTTAATGTTCAAATCTCAGGAATTAAAGAGTAACCATAGCATTGTCAGTTCTAATTAAATTTTGTAAATGGCAAGTTTGTTACCTCACTTGAGTGGGGCTTCCCTCTCCCCAATTCTAAGAGAACACAATATGTATAATAAAACATTAATAAATACAATTTCAAAAATTTACTTCCCCTGTATGCTTATGTTCAAAATTGAATGTCTTAAACTGGTAGTTCTTAACATTAACCTTTTTGGAGTTCCCTTTAATAAAATATATGGAATTTATTTTTAAAAAAATACTTGCATGCACATAGGCAAAAAATTTCAAGTATAACATTGGTATTGGCTCCTCTCCATGTATCCCAGTTGAAGAACTTTTGTTTTCTTTCCTTTGTACATTCTTGATCTTTCTATTGCTTGCTATTTTTAAATAAAAAGAAACCAGATGAATGTTTAATTTTAAATCCTAATCCTGGGATCATTAGTTTGCAGTGTTAAGTATTAGAAACAACTGTAATGCCATTTGAAAACATGAGTTGAACTGAAACAATCATCATCATAAGTGAGACCCTTTTAAATATCACACTGAAGAGACATGAGCCTTTAAATATTACACATTGTTCTTGGTGCAGTCTAGTTGCTGCTCCTCTCTCCTGAGGTAGTAAAATTCTAAGTGTGTGGGAAAGATGAGTTAATCCCATCACATACATCAACACGTTACTCATTTATGCTGGGTTGGCTAAATGTAAAAGGTAGACTTTAGCCAATTTTAATAATTTTAGTTCTTTTTTCAGCTAAAGTTGCAGAAGTTTCTGACTGACAGTATTCCTTATCCTAAGGAAGTTTTAATGCTATAATTTTTTCTTTTTTTAAATTTTAGGGACAGTTTAACAGGTTGTCAAAGATTTCAGTTATAAAAAATCCAGAATAAGTGTAAATCTATCTAGAGAGATTAAGTGAAGTCATAAGACTAAGCAGTCAACTCAGAGATGGTGATGGCAAAGTTAGAATTTAGTTTATACAAAAAGTTCTTATATATGCTATATAAAAAGTTGGTTTGGGCAAGTATATGGATATTTTCCTCTATTTTTAATAGTTTGGCTTTTTGTAGCACCTGCCTTACCTGATAGCTCCACTTGTTCCTATAGTGGAGACGTACTCAGGAAAGTAGATGAAATGTATCTTCCAATCATGGTAGATCTGAGGTCATAACTCTGGGATCATCTTTAAGACTATACATTCTATAATGTATCTAAGATGTGTGTACTGAAGAGTTCGTTAGTAAAGCCCTCATTATCATTAAAGAGAGGGGAAAGAAGTTAACACTTTTATACCCAGAAGCACCTATCTATATCAGATTATTACAGTAGTCAGTCATTTCAGAATCTACACAAAAGGTAACACAGATGCACTTTGATATAATTACTGAATATCAGGATGATCTTACAAGGTGAATGTGTTGAGAGAAGCAGTGGAGATTGCTTTGTCTCTGGTTTGCTCTCTGTGCTTTACATATAGCACATAATGGTTAGAAGCATAGACTCTGGGGCCAGACTGTGATTTGAATCCTGATTTGCTGCTTACCAGGTTCCTTAACCTCTCTTTGCTTCATTTCCTCAGGCATAAAATGACATAATAGTATATAGCTCATAGATTGTTTGAGGATTGAGTTAATTTGTGTAAGGCATTTTATTAGGAAACAGCAACTGCTATAAATATTAGCTCTTATTACAATTACTCTCATAGGCTTAAATGTACTCGGCATATAATTGTTAGCTGTTCACTAGTACTACTTTTTTAGGTAGAAAATTTTGAAGATAGTCTGTGTTTGACTCTGAGTGGGTCCCCTAAAAACGATTCCCTTTTAAATGCCTCAGCTAAGTGTAGACAATGTAAGGCAGGTCCTGCTCGCCCCTAAAGACCGTGGTCTGACAGGTGGCCAAACAACGAAAGGCAACGCTTGGCAGTGAAAATTGGTGAGGAGAGCTGGCTAAGGTGGTGGTCCCATTTTCCGCCCTCCCACCTTTCATTTCCGTGGCGCTTGGTAACTTTTCAGGGTGCTTTCATTGTATTAACACACATTTCGGGAAGCTGAGAGGAAGGGCAAATCACCCACTGTTTCTGAATTTAAAATTATTTAAAAGTATACAACACATGTGAAAGGGTGTAGGATGTGCACTAGAGAATAAAAATACAACACTCGGGTCGCCTCCACAGAGGTTCCGCCTATTCCTACCGTCTTAGATGCTCCCTTTTCCACCCGAGGAAACCACAATGCAGAATTTTGGTGGTAGCTATTCCTTGCTTTTCTCTAGTGTTACAACCTATCTATATTTTTCTAAATAATATATTGTTTTGCATGTTTTTTCAAGTTACTATAAATGGACTCTTACCATGTGCTTTATGAGTTCTTTAACTGAGTGCTTTTCTCGTTCATTCATGTTGATGTACATGGCGTAGCTGATCTAGTTTTCCTTCCTAGTATTACTCCGTTACATGAATACAGAGATATTTTCTCTCTTCTGTTGATGACACTGGGGCTCTTTCCCAGTTTGGGATCCTGTGAAGAGTGCTGCTGTAACCGTTACTGTGCATGTCTCTGAGTATGTGTGTTCAGAGCTTCCCCAGGGTGTGTCCCCACAAGTGAGTCTGCTAGGTGGCAGGGACTACAAGCTCACCGGGCAGGATGCCAGCCTGTCCTCCCTCCCAGCAGTGGGCCAGTCCTCACTGTTCCCTCTCGGCCAGCAGTCTGGTGAAATCTAGTATCTCAGTGTGGTTTTCATTTGCATTTCCTTGATTATTAATTATATGAGATTGAATATATTTCTGTTTAAGAGCTATTTTTATCTTTTAGTCTATGAAAGGCCCTCATGACTTTTTCTATTTTTTTTTTCAATTTATCTTTTTCTAATTGTGGGAATATTTTCTATATTCTGGATACTAATTTTTTGTTGGTCATCTGTGCTTGCTAATATAATATGCTCAGTTAATTTTGTTTCCATTCTTGTGTTTTTTTGAAGTCAGTTTCAGTGTATTGGATTTTTTTGTTTTTCTTATGATTTGCATGCTTTGTGGCTTAGTTAAGCTACACATTTTTAATGAAAAATTTAATTTTTAAAAAAGTTGATTTCAGTTTGCAATAATATTGTTCACGACTTGAGATTCTTCCCTTCTCACCCTGAACAATTCTAAACAAGAATAAGAAATGCATGGGACTTTGGCTCTTACAGATGTCAGAGAACTTATTGAGCTAATATTATACAAATTTCTAAGGCATTAGTTAACACTGAACTAGTAATTTTATGGTGTACCATCTCATACAGGCTTAGAACAGCTCACTGTCTCTCTGATGGTGTACATATTATAGAGTGGATTCCTCACATGGGCCCTGTTACATTAACCTAATTTGGGGTTGCAGAAGTTGTTTTAGTAGTCTTTAAAAGCAACCCCTTTTAAAAACCTGGCATTGAGATCACATTATTCTACTCATGTTGAATAGAGGTACTTTTTATAGTGTATCTTTTCTGCTGTGATTTCATTATGCCCTAGTTTTTTGGAAATTAACTATTAAAGCCACAGAACTGACTTTAGTTTTCTTCCAGGGATGTTCTAGAAAATAATCACAGAAAGCAAAAGAAACAGAATGATAGTTTTTATTTGCTAGCATTTACTGCTAGGTTAATTTATGACAGAGACAGTGATATTCTGTTGTACTTGGTTACAATTAAACATTGTACCAATTCAAGATCATTATACTTATTTCAGGGGTAGGACAGCATGGTGGAGTGGGCTGGCATGCCAGGAACTGGATGTGTCAGTGTGGAAACAGGAACTTTAAACCAGGCCCCAGGACCAGCTGTGCTTCAAGTGAGTTTTAAAATTAATTGGTCCCTTCCTTGAGGAGGGTCTGGCTCAGAGAAACAGGAACTGGTGGAGCTGCACCCTGTCCATGGTGATCCTCCACTGGAAAGCGTATCGCCTAGAGGACCATAACCTTAGGAAGGCTGGTTCATTACGATGACTAAGTTAAACATCTGCGTTACTCATCCGCTAGTCTTGTTACTGCATGATGTCTGGAGCACGCATCAAAACTAGACCTGCATACCTGCTAGCACGCGAGCCTCGGAGGGCTCGTCACCTGACTGTACCAATTAATGCCTTTAGGTCCAATTATGAGATAAGCTTGATTATAAATACACAGTTTTCAGAATGACAGGCACTTAAAGCTGAAGTAAAATACAAAAATAGATTATATTAATAGGAAATATTTAGTGTTTATCAAGTTATAAATCTAGGCTTTTGCCATTTTTAAAAAAGGATACTGGAAACTGAAGAAATGACATTTAAATAAAGTGAACAATGTATTTTTTCATAATTTCATTCTGAAGGCTGAACAATGCAATCTAAGAATACGACTTACCACAAAGCACCTAAAATAACATTTGTAGATGGGTAGGAATGTTGTCAACCATTTCTTACTGTTGCCCTCCCAAGTCTCAGTATCAAGGCATCGAGGGGACATCCCATGAGCGACTGTCAGCATTCTGAAACCAGGGCGTGTGCCTGCATATCAGAGAAGTTGAGACCCTTAAGGAGGCAGCTCTCCTTGTGGGGTGCTCTTCCCCCGAAGGGGCAAGAGAGTTAGGCTTCAGATTCTGCGCCTCTGTTTTCACTTGGGCTTCCATCAGTGTCATCTGGTGGATGGTTTAACAGTACATATTTTCCATCATTGGTTAGTGGTATGGAGAGCATTAACCGAGCCAATGCTTCTGGATCCTGAAGTTACGGGAGTTTAAGAAGGAAAAAAGAAAACGCTTAAAATGCACTTAAAACCCCTTTGGCGTGGCTTTCATTATGTGCTGTAATCTAGCTTCATGCCTTCTGACTCTTTGTCTATGCTGCCTTCAGGTGGCTCTCCTTGTTTCTCTGAGAAAACAACTGCATAACCTCTCCTAGAACCCAGGCCAAGGTTTTCCTGAGCCAGAATATCATTTACATAGCCAAATCGTAATCATTTGCCCAGAGAGGGTCCAGAGAGGAACTTGCTTTACACCCCCTTTGTCTCCTATGTCTTCAAACGCCTGTCTTTTCTCTCAGTCTATACCGAGAGTTGGCCAACTGGGGCTCTTTGGCTCACCACTTGTTTCTGTACACAGTTTTACTGGAGCACAGCCATGCGCATTCATTTACGTACTGGCTATGTAATGTCTGTGGCTGCTTTTGTGTTCTAACAGCAAGGCTGAGTAGTTGCAACAGAAGTGGTAAGCCTAAAATGTTTACTGTCTGGCCCTTTACAGAAAAAGTTTGCCAGCTCCTGATCTGTATCCTGGCTTGCAGTGCCTGCCGTTATTTCCGGTCTTAGTCCTTGCTCCTGGGCCCTCCTCGACAGACTAGAACTGCACTAACATGGTACCCACTAGCTACATGTTACTATTTAAATTTAACTTAAGATGAAATTAAATGAAATTTAAAAATCTAGTTCCTCAGTCATACTAGCCACGTTCAATCTGCATATTAAACAGTGCAGCTGTAGATCATTTCCATTATTGCAGAAAGTCCTACTGGACAGTGCTGAATTAGAAGCCCCCTGGGGCAGGAACTGTATCTGCATCTGTCTTGCTCACTGCTATAACCCCAGGGTTTTTCTTATACAAACTTGGCTCTCAAAAATTTGTTGGGTGAATGACAGATCGCAAGCTGCTGTAAGACAGGGAGGTCTGAGAGTCTAGTTTGCAGCTGATGTCTGTCAGTGCTGCTGGGCCTGGGACCGCTCTGAGGGGGAAGGGCTTAGAGCACAGTGGAGGTACGTAAGTTTGCACCATCTTCATTCGAAAGGAAGGGAATCTAGCCAACAATAACAAGCAAAAAAACTGATAAAGTAGGAGCTGCACAGTGATATTTATTAAGAGCTCCATATTTGTTACCATGACTGTGGAAGTAGCTGATCAAAACTGTCTGGTGGTTGGAAGGCTTAAAAGGAAATCCTAACCTTGGCCACACTGCCCAGTGAGCACCATTTCTCTTTCTGAGAGAAATCTTAGTATGTGTACAGGTATCTTTCGAGTAGTCGTCAAACCAGCACTAAAATGCACCTTACCTTCTGAACCTCAATGATTTCTTTTCCCAAATTAATAGCATAACATATCTGCAAAAGACAAGAAAAGTAGTGTTTGGCAAAGGTAGAAAAGGATAAAGAACTTTAGAAAAAACGTGATTATGGAAGTAGAATGAGGTCACTGTCTGCTCACATCAACATGGGGACAGAGGACCCGGCTGTAGCAGACTCATCACTCGGGGCTCTGCACATTGGCGTCCATCTGTCCTGGTCTCCTGTTGCCAATGTGTGTACAAAAGACCCCCAGGTAAGTGACAACTGGACTTACTCCAGTGTTTCAAATTCTGCACGGGACACTTTTTTCCCTTCTCTCTTACCTGTATTTAGGCACGAAGTGTTCATACACACAGTGGCAAACAGGCACTTCCTGAAAGAATTCTAAGTAGTGAATGCGGCCAGTTTTTCGTTCTAAAACAAAGACCACCTCAGATGTACCTTCCTGACGTCTGCCACCTTGGTTTACTCTCTGAGACTAGATTTTCTCCACTGTAACTTTTGCTTTAAAAGATTTTCTAAGAAGAAAACATTTGAGGGGAACTGCTTTTAACATTTCCTGCTCTCTCTACTAAACAAGTGCATCTCAGCACTAAACAACTTCTCATCTATTCTGGGTGGTATGTATTTTCCACAGGGAAATTTTACTCCAGTCAGTTTTCTTCCAGTGGGGCCTTCCTAGAAGGTGGTATTATCTAAACTCCTTGATGGGGACATGCAGAATGGTAAGCTAGTATCCAGGGGGGTGGTGTAGAAAACTCCTGTAAATATCTTTGTTTGGACTGAGATATTCTGGAATCTTAAGATGAAAAAAAATGTCAAGACCTTTTCCCCTTCTGAGTTGCTTTCAAAAATGTACGTGCTCAGAGACTCTCCACCTGTGGATTCGGGCATGCGGACCACAAAGCCCACCAGTCTCTTGTTTTCTTGATGAGCAGCAAACTGGGTGACACTGGTAAGTTCAAACTGGAAAAGATAGGAATAGATTGAATATCAGAAAACTGGAATTAAACAAAGTCATTCGCCATGGAAAAAGTCATGAAAAAAGTGCATTAGTTACCGAATTATGGCAGATAAAATTTATGAAGCGCCTACTTTGCATTTAAGGTGGCTACAAAGGTGAATTACGGAGTGATCACTAAAATAGCATGCATGAGGGTACTTACATTGGCCCTTGTTACTTGAGTCTGAGGATCTATCAACCTGAAATTTGAAGAGATTCATTAAATCACATCTGTTGGATAACCTTATATTGTTAGAAGAATTTGTGCAAGTTCAGAATGAAATCACACAAATACCCTCCCAATACGAAAACATAAGGCCTGGGTGAGGCGAGGCAAGAACTCCTGGTGACCATCCACAGGGAGCATTTGCCATGTTTCTGCCTTTGTTGCACCTGTGTGGTTAAAGCTCAAGGTGTCTAATGGAGGAGTATAGCCAATAGAGAATTAATTTTGCAGTATTTTAATGCTTTGTAATTCTCAGTCGTTCTGCTGTATAACATGGACGGGTCCTATTCTGTATGGCCGCCTCCTCAACCAACATTCACTGACTACTGTCTTCTTTCCCTGAAGTGCTAGGGTGACTGATTCTTCCAACAAATTTTTTTTTTTTTTGAAATAATGGAGTAGGGGTGAGAGAATAGTGAAGGGATTTTAACAAAACTCCATCAGTTCGGGTGTAGGAGGAGTATGTTTAACAACATTTTAAGCATCATCTAATAATTAGGTTGATGTATATTGGAAAATAAACTGGATTAGATAATTTAATATTATCTTAGATATAAGTTTCTACTTTCTAACACATGGTTTAGGTAAGTTATTACTGATTTGCTATAATTTTTATAAGCAAAAGCAAAAAAATCTATTTTTTTTAAAAAAAATGGGTTATTCCATTTATATTAAATTAAATGTCCAGAATAGGCAAATCTATAGAGACAGTAAGCTTAGTGGTTAGTGGCTGCCTAGGGCTGGGTGGGCTGCAAGGAAAAAGGGCATGCCTGCTAATGGAGATGGGTTTCTGGGGTCGGAGCGTGGGGTTGTGATGAAAATGTTCTCAAACTGGTGATGGCTGCACAACTCTGAATACACTAAAAACATTTTAAATGGGTGAATTGTATGTCATGGAAGTCACATCTCAATAAAGCTGCTACCCCCCAAAATGGTTACAATTTGAAATACATGCAATTATACTTAGTAAAGCATGGGATTTACAATCAGAGGGCTCGAGATTGAGTTCTAACCTGGCTACTCGCTTTATGATCTAGTTGTGCAAGTCACCCTGATTTCTCTCAGCTGCTGTGTCTGTAAAACTGGGATGAGAAACCCCACTTCGAAGAGATGGTTCAGACAATGAGAAAATGTGTGGAATTTTAAGTTAACTACAAAGCTAAATAAATGTTATTTTTATTTATATCCCTATTAATAGGTATGAATTTAATGATTTTTAAAATACACATCATAAACAATTTCCCTCACGGGATAATTTTCTTTACTTAGGTATTTTGTAAAAATTTTCTGTAAGTGAAAACTTAAAACGTGTATCATATTTTGTAAGTAACTCTTAAAAGTTTGCTGTCTAAATCAGATAACCTGGATTTTCCTCTGAGATCTGATTTTCTGCGTGACTTCTGAATAGTGTTAAAACCTATGAATCCCACTATGGGGGCTGTGCGCGTGCTGTGGTGAAATACGCCATTACTGGCACTCAGTCCATTCACAACACTGCAGACATCACTAGCGGTGGGAGATCTTCACGCCCTCGGACGGGCACTCCAGACCCATTAGCAGCCACTCCCCATTCCTCCTTCCGCTTAGCTTTCGGCAACCACTAATCTGCTTTCTGTCTCTGTGGATCTGCCTGTTCTCAATATTTCGTGTAACTGATCATACACTGTGTGGCCACGTGTCTGTCTGTCTGTCAGCATAATGTTTTCAAGGTTCATCCATGTTGTAGCATGTACTTCATTCCTTTTTAAGGCTGAACAGTATTCAGGTATGGATAGACCACATTTTCTTTATTCATTTGTTGATGGCTAGCTGCATTGTTCCCACCTTTGACCTCCTGTGAATAGTGCTGTTCTGAACGTTGGTGTGAAGCTGTTGTTTGAGCGCTTGTTCTCAGTTCTTTCGGGTCTCCACCGAGGAGTGGGATTCTATGGTCAACTTAGGGAGGAAGTGCCAAGCTGCCAGCTCTACACGTATTTACTCTCATCTCCCACAGGGACTGAGTATTTACTCTCATCTCCCACAGGGACTGAGTATTTACTCTCATCTCCCACAGGGACTGAGTATTTACTCTCATCTCCCACAGGGACTGAGTATTTACTCTCATCTCCCACAGGGACTGAGTATTTACTCTCATCTCCCACAGGGACTGAGTATTTACTCTGATCTCCCACAGGGACTGAGTATTTACTCTCATCTCCCACAGGGACTGAGTATTTACTCTCATCTCCCACAGGGACTGAGTATTTACTCTCATCTCCCACAGGGACTGAGTATTTCACATTCCCACCAGCAATGGGTTCCAGTTTCCTCACATCCTGGCTAACACTTATCTTCCTTTAGAAAAAAAAAAAATTATAGCCATCCTAGTCGGTGTGAAGTGGTGTCTCCCTGTGGATATGATTTGCATTTCCCTAATGATACTGAGCATCTTTTCATGTGCTTGTTGGCCATTTGTATATCTTCTTTGGAGAAACGTCCATTCAAGTTCTTCATCCATTTTTTAAATTTTTTTTGTCTTTTTGTTGATTTGTAAGAGTTCTTTATAAATTCTGGATACTACACCTTTATTAGATACATGATTTACAAATGTTTTCTTCCTTGCTCTGGGTTGTCTTTGCACTTTTTTCATAGTGTTCTTTGACGCACTGCAGTTTTCAGTGCTTTTACGTTTATTTACTCTGATCATTTTAGTGGCGATTATAAGAACAATGAGCCAAGGGCTATAAAGGTCCAGGACATATTTGGAGAAAAGCTTTAAATAATTATAAGGTTTTATTCATAAGAACCCAATTCTCAGTATAAGGTTTATAACAAATGAAAAGTCTGTTTTAATGAATGGAATAAACTATATTCTGATTTCTGCCCAAGTCCTAGTTAACCTTTTTGAAGCTAACATTTATTGAATACTTTCTCTGTGCCACTCGTGGGTGTAAATATTTTACATGCATTAACTCACTTATTCCTCATGACAACACTATGGGTATGGATACAGTTATTTTCATATTACAGTTGAAGAAGCCAAGGCACAGAGGTTAAATAACTTGCCCAAGGTCATACAACTAGTAAATGCCAAAGCAGGGAATAAACCTAGGCATTGTGAATCTAAAGCAGTGCTGCTGCCCCACAGAAATAGAGTGTAAGCCTCATACATAATTTAAATTTTTCTAGCAGCCACATTAAAAAAAGTGAAAAGAGGGGCCGGCCCTGTGGCTGAGTGGTTAAGTTCACACGCTCTGCTACGGTGGCCCAGGGTTTCGCTGGTTCGCATCCTGGGTGTGGACATGGCACCACTCATCAGGCCACGCTGAGGCGGCATCCCATGTGCCACAACTAGAAGGACCCACAATTAAAATATACAACTATGTACTGGGGGGATTTGGGGAGAAAAAGAAAGAAAAAAGAAAAGAAAAAGAATATTGGCAACAGTTGTTAGCTCAGGTGCCAATCTTTAAAAAAAAAAGTGAAAAGAAACAGGTAAAATTAATTTAATATCTTTGTTTAGGGGCCAGCCCAGTGGCACAGCAGTTAAGTGTGCACGTTACGCTTCAGCGGCCCGGGGTTTGCCAGTTCGGATCCTGGGTGCAGACATGGCACCGCTTGGCAAGCCATGCTGTGGTAGGCGTCCTACATACAAAGTAGAGGAAGATGAGCATGGATGTTAGCTCAGGGCCAGTCTTCCTCAGCAAAAAAAACCAGGAGGATTGGCAGCAGATGTTAACTCAGGGCTAATCTTCCTCAAAAAAAAAGGTCTTTGTTTAATCTAATAGATCTAAAATATTACCAGCTAGGCATGTTATTAAATATAAAAATGAGATATTTTGCATTCTTTTTGGGGGTAGTATGAGATCTTAGACATTTGGTATGTATTTTCCATGTAAAACATCTCAATTCAGACTAGTTATGTTTCAAGTGCTAGCAACTCTTACTAAAGCCTGTGCTAACCATGGCTTGACAGCCGTTCGCCATCATTCATAGACATCTCATTACCTGAAACCCCAAATCATGGAGTTGACATTACTTGGTTTCTTTATTTTGACGCCAGCAAATATTAATCAGATTTTCCCTGTGGTGGTCTAGTTATCTCAGGCAGGTTCCTGTTCTGTTTTCACAACTCTCAGAAATGAAAAACAAAAAACCTTCAATTTTTAAGTTCTGAGATACAGAGAGCAACTCTAGAGTGGTGGCATCTTTATGAATAGCATTCAGTCACTACTAAATTTCTAAAATTCTTGTCTTTAAGGGAGCATCTTCTATCCAATACTTCTTATAAAATCAAAACGTAGAAAGAAGTAGGGCAGAAACAAGAGCAGCATTTTCATTTACTCCAATCAAATATTCTTGCATGAACATTCTTAAAAGGGGAATCACAGGAAGCTGTAAGAAAGTGTGGAAATGAAAGTGAGCGCACCTCAGAGTTTGGCTGGTGACCATCAGGTGGGTTTCCGTCATGCGGAAGATGTTGTGAATGGCCCGAGCAGCCAGCACTTGTCTCATCGCTTCATAAATCACTTCCGCAGTGCTGTCGGTGTTAACTGCCATGGAGCCCAGAAACCGGACTATAAACATCTGCTGCAAGAGAGAATCTGCAGAGGGCATTCTATGCTCAGGGTCACAGTCACCTCCTGCCTGCTGCTGACCTGCACACCGGCAACAGGTGCTGGTCTGTGAACAGGCTGAAGACCTCAGGTTGGCTTTGCTCTCTATGGAGCGCCTTCTACCAAAATTTCTCAAAACTCCGCTTTCACAAACCCCAAAGTGCCAAAGCTCGGAATCTGTTTGGAACTACTTCATTAGACTAGCAAAGCCCCTCTTTTTCTTCCTTTATAAAGTGAAACGGGGGCAGATGAACATCCTTCTGGCACTAAAACTCTAGGTGACTTCATGTAGCTGGCAGTATATGCATCTTATATTTTCTCTGAAAATAAGTCTTTTCCACCAGACAAAAGAAAATTCATTACTTTGGCCCACTGATAAAGTCCTCTTCCAGAGGAAAATTTATTTGAAGAAAGTCAGACCTGATGTTGGATCTCGTTCAATTCATACATGTCATTTATTACTGAAGGGAAGTGATGGTATTCCATAAACTGATGGAGATCTCAAACTAAAATAAGTTGCTTATTTGATTCTAATCAATTTCCAGTATTGGTTTCTTGGTAATGGCAGATAACCTGCTAAAAATGAATAACAGCAACCATAATTGGAAGATCATGAAGGTTTAAAGCTCTTTTTTCCTATAAGAACAATAATTCACTTATCCACCATTTTAAACTAAGAAGCCTACTTTTTCCTCTCTTGCCCTCGTTAGTATCCTTGTCCCTAAGAATAAGGGTTAAAAAATTTCTGAGGAAAATATAACTGATCGAATGTTATAAATGGTTACTCCCATGTGAAGACAGATTTCCCAGTTTGAAAGTTTATGGTATAGACTGTTTACAAACAGTGTGGACAGTATGAAAAGTCAGCTAGATACAAGTGGAGAGTCAGATTTGAGACACAGCCTATTAACATATTTTTTTTTGCCTAAAGCTATAAGGAGTGCCAATTCTTAAGTCCCACTTTTAAACTTAAATAAGTGCCATTTCTTTCTAATGATACTCTTAGGCTCTAGTCATGAAACTATTAAAATGAGGTCCTGGCAGCACGTCTAGCTGCTAAGTTGCCTCGGCTGGAAACTCAAGCTCTGCTCTAGGGAGCAGGAGGCCTACTGGGTGTGTGCTTATGCACCTTAAGAATAGAAACCAAACATTAAAAAGCTGAGTATGAACAAATTAAATACCATTTATTCAAGTCGTCCTCAAATTCAAGAATGAGTTATTTGTGTTTTTGGTTTTGTAGAATGAGATAGCATATTTATGACTTACCCGAACTGTATTTTAATGTGATGATTTTATCCTCTTTGAATCTGTTTTGTAGTAGTTTGACACCAGATTTAGATGTGGCACCCATTTCTACACAGGAGCTACAAAAGGGTATGGACGTGGCTAATGATACAACACTTGTAGAAATCTGTCAGTTTATCCAAGAGTTGCCCTAACTGCACATGTCCTAATGGTTTTAACAGAGAACAACAAATCTGTGGGTCATGATTTCACTTCAAATTTCAAGTCACAAATCTCTAAAACATGACTTCACATCTTATTCGAAGGCCCTGGTCATTTTGTGTGGAGGAAAGAATAAGCACACCCAGCGAGCCGCTTACCTTCTGCTTCTGGAAACGTGTCATCCTCAGTTTCACCAAAAGGGTTGACCCGCCTAGGGCAAGAAGCAGAGTCAAACCATCCTGAAAGTTTCAGCTCAAAGGACACTTAAAACTTGAACTCTAAGTCAGGATGGCAGCAGTCTTTGGAGGCGGGTGGGGACAAAAAAGACGTCAAATTTCATTTCATTTCTCCCAGTGGTAAGCTCCCCTAGCCCATACCTGCCCCCTCTGTTCTGGTCCAGGAATTCTGTAGCCGGAAGCACAATATCAAATTGAATAGGTGTTCCAGGTGCAATTAGTTGTTCAGGTTCAGGTACATTAACTGTTGTTTTGGGAACAATCTTGTCATTTTCCATCTCTGAATTTTTCAGGTTTTGGCTGGAGTACAAAATAGGAGGGGAAAAAAAAAATCAAATCCCTCTTAACCTATGCCTTAAAATCAAATGACCACATGTTGAATGCTGATGTGACTTTTACAAACAGACAAGGGAGAAGATTTCAATCCTTCAACCCATTCTACAAATAAATCTTCGAAAAATGTCATTCACATCGTTGGTTATAAAATCCTTCAGATCTCCCCACTTCCTACAGTCGCTCTGCGGCACAGCATTCTGCATCGTGTTCGACTACTTACTCCATTATCTACTGGTTTGCTGTTTGTATCTTGCATTTATGAGGGCAGGGGCTAGATCGTATTTATTACTTGGGATGTAGCAGGCATTTGAAAACGTTAGCTGAACGAATACGCCACCCTGGCCTAGCGTTGTCGCCACCTGCTCTGGTTTCTCCTGAGCCCCTCCCTCCCCACTCCCCCAGTGCGCCCTCCACTCGAGCGACACCAAACACATGGCACACCGTTCCTCGTGCCTCCACGTCAGTCCCGCTGCTTACCCAGTCTCCCGTGTTCGAACGCCACCTCCAGTTCCTCTTCGCCCCTAAGCCTTTCAAGCCAGTCTGACCCTCTCCCTCCTCCGACTCCAGTGGTTCCTCTCAGTAAGTCACAGGGCCAGTCTGTACCCTGTGTGTCTCCTGAACTCAGCCCCGTGCCCACACACATTGCTACTGAGATGGTGGCACATGAAAGTAGAGCACCATCTGTATCGTGATTCATCACGTGCCACCGTGTTTCTCTCTTCGAGGGTCAGAATGACGTACTTTAACTTCGCACATTTTTATCATCTTTTCTCCCCAGCTAGAATGTAAACTCCTTTGAGGGGCAAAGAATGTCACAGTATTTTGATGTCTTGCATTGTGTGGACTATTAAAAGGCTCTCAGTATCCTTCTGTTCATCTGATATTTTGTGTATCAGTATTTTCATATCCTCAGATAGGCCAATAACTAAAGAGATTACATGAAACTTCTTTATAGTGCCATTTGACAAATGAGCATACTAAATGGAAAGTGGACAGAAACATAGGCTGGGAGACAGTCACTGCAAGGAGAGACCGTTCAGTCTAACCTCCATCATTAACAGAGAAGGAAACAGGTCTCTAGAGAAACTAATTCTGAAGGCACGCAGTTAACTGGTGTGTGAGTAGATTAAGAACTGAGGTCTCCTCACTGCCAGTATAGTACCTTCCCGTGATGCCACACTGCCTCAGTAATCCAAAATGGCAGACTCACATCTGTATTTGATCCAACTTTAAGGGAGGAGTATGATTTAGTAAGTGGTAAGCACTGGAGGAAGGGATGAGTAGAAGCTTAGAGGGGAGGAAGCAAGTCCAAATTTTGACTCCCCAGAGGGTCTAAGGGGAGATAACAAAGATAGGATGGGGCCAGGTTGTAGAGGGCCATGGCACCATCAGGTGGGGTCTGAACTTGACTCTATGGTATAGGGAGCCACCGAAGATTCTTAACAGAGGAGTGACATGATGTAAAGCATCATCTGTGATCTCTGTGTCACCAACTCTAATGGACACTTTGTGATCATCATCCTACTTGATCTCTCAAAGCATCCAACATAAGTGACCTCTCCTTAAGACTCTTCTTGGTTTCTGCTGATGCCACCACTTTTCTTGATGTTTCTCAGTATACTTTTCAGGCTCCTTCTCCTCTACTCCAAACGCTGGCGTTCTTTAGGATCCTGTCCTAGGCCCCACTCTTCTCCCTCTACGCCCTCTCCCTAGATGACCTCTTCCACTGCCACTGTCGTGGGAGTTCTCGATTCATATATGCAGCCCCGACACTTTCTTTGTACTCCAGACTTGTGTCAGTTGACTACTTAACATGCTGGAATGTTTTACAGGCCTCTCAAACTCATCATGTCCAAAAGTGAACTCTTGATACCCACTGCCAACTCTTCTATCTCTTTAAATACCACCACCATCTGCCCACATGCTCAACTCAGACTGTGGTCATCCTTTGATTTGTGTTTTTCCTCCCACTCCACATCTCAGATATCACAAGTCCTACAGATTCTGCCTCCAAAATAAGTCCCAAATCCATCGACTCTGTCTCCTCTGCCATGGTCCTAGTTTAAGACGCCATCCTCTTCGCCTGGATGCTGCCACAGGCTCCTCCCTGGATACGTACACGCGCAGCTCTGTGCTCTGTCCTCCCCAGTAGCCAGAGCCGACCCTGGAAAATCAAGTGGATCATCTCTCTCTCTGACACACACGCCTACTTGCCTCTCAGAACCCTTCCACAGCTCCCCAGGCTCCTGACCATGACTTCCTTCATGATCTGTCCCTGTCACCCTCCCTCCCCAACCTCATCCTGCTCCAGCTCTCCCTTTACCCACCATTGTCTAGTTATCCTGGTCTTTCAGCATCTCAAATACGCTCTTTTCTGCCTTAGAGCTCCCATAATTGCTACCAGGAATGCACTGCCTCTGGCTGTTTGCAAGAGTGGCTACTTCTCAACTTTTACTTCTCAATTTAAATATTATCTCCACAGACAGGCCCTACATAGGTCTCTCTTTACTCTCCACAACACCCCCCTTGTCTTGAACATAATAGCACTTTCCTCAATTTCAACTAAATATTTGTTTACATTTTGCCTGTCTTCCCCCACAAGTCTGTAAGTTTCATGACCTAGCCCATGCCTGGGCACCTAGCGGATATCGACAAACATGTGCTGAATAGCAGGATAAATGAATGAATATTAGATAGGTAATGCCTGAAGAATGCGGGAAGGCCACACATATTTGCTTAGAAGTGAATGGCAATTTGTTCCCAAGAACACAGTTTCTTTGCTGCTTTCCCCCACTGTCATCAAAACATTTTTTTATTCTTAATGAGTTGACTCTAAGAAAGAGAGTACCCCTCCCCCCCAGAGATCTGGGACCATCTGGCAGCCACATCTGTCACTCTTCCAATATCTGGGTTGATTCAGTTGGCTGGCCAGAGCCATTTTTTTTTTCAGGGATTCTTCTGTGTCCCTTCTGTGGGATCCTTTCTGTCTAAGAATGCGACTTACTCATTCTAGAACAAGGAGAAAAATCCGTTACTGAATAATTAGATCTGAGCTGCGAATTATTTTTTAGAAAACCAATCACACCTCCTAATTACTAACACTAAACTATACATTGGCACCCTAGAAAGGCAGCATATTAAAGCTGGAAGGGGCCTTAGAGGTTGTCTAGTTTCTCATCTTCTTATGTCACAAAGTTAGGAGACAGAGGCCCAGAAAGTTGACTGACTCAACTCAAGGACATCTAGCTGTGTTCAAGGCAGAGCTATTATCCGAATGTCTCTTAACTCTGAGTCTAGTTTTCTCCACGGGGCCCATCTAGCATTCTTGTGGCTTTACAAAGAGGAGACAGACACATTTACCCATGACAAAGCTCAGAAATTAGCGCCGCTGGCTGATCTTTATTCCCATTTCCATTCATATAGTGCTTTCCTTAGAGCCGTGCTTCAGAAGCACGCGCTGTGTGAACTGTGAAACCCTTACATCACAGCACTGAAGTTTTCTCAGACGTGTTGCGTCTTTCCCATTTTTATTACCCTTGCTCAGGTTCTCAGGTTCTATTTCACAGCTACTATTACAACAACCTCCTGTCGGGTCTCTTTGCCTTTCCCTCATCCCTGCACGCCCCATCCAGTCTATCCTATATAGTGCTGCAGAACCACCTTTCCGCTCTGGTTCTGATTATGCCACCCCTTGGCCTAAAGCCCTCAGTCCTCCTCCATGCCTGTAACTCCTAAGCAGAGCACCTAGTTCTTTCACAATCAGACTCAAACCTAGCTTCTGGCCTTAGCTTCTGCTGCTGCTTCTGTGAACCCACGGCAGGTGTGTGAACACTGGCTCCACACTGCACAGCACTGAGACCCTCAGAAGTCATTTAACCACCTTGAGCTCTCCAATGGCTTTCTTCTGGACTCAGTAGATAGTATCTGTAAAACAATTCACGGGGTTCTTTCTACACTGAAAAAGAGACACCAAATATAGTCATAATTTTAATTTACCCTTTGATGCCATGCTTTCATTAGCATGAAAAGTAATACAACCCTCTATTATTTAACCAAATGGAAACTCCCATTAAGACAAAAGGTAGGATTCCTGGAATAAATCCTAAAGCAGTATTCAAAACAAAAGAAAAGCCACATGGATGAAAATGTTTACAATAAATGATAACAGCAAACAAAGGAAGGGAGACAACCTAAATATTCACTAGCTAAAAATAATAAATGATGGAATAGTGTGTATAGTCATTAAAAGGAATAATCATAAAAAAACTAAAAATATAAAAAATATATATGTGAAAATGCAAAATAAGCACAGTATGTGTGCAGATAAGGCCTGGGCAGTAACACAGACATATAAAGGGTGATTTGGTTCCTTATTTTAAAAATTTTTGTTTTGATTCCCTAATTTTGTTGATGCTGACAGAAAATGTGAGGAAAACCCCTGACTAGCAAGCCCCTTGATGCAAGTCCTGTTTGCTCAGACTGCATAGCACGGCCCAGTGGGAAGGATGTGGATGCTGAAATGGACAGCTTTGAATCCTGGCTCTGCCCCTCATCTGTGGTGTGAACATGGGCAAAATATTCACCCTTTCACAGCCGTAGTTACGGCGTCTGTAGAACAGAGCTGAACAGTACCCCTGGGTGGTTTGTGAGGATGAAATAACAGCTGGTGTCAAACTCCTAATACATAGTTTGGCTCCAGAAAAACTAGTTCTCCAGTGTCCTTTAGTTACCTGGGGCGCGAGCTTTCTTGCTTTTTTCCATAACTTGTAATGGGAGTCACTGCTTGGAGAGCTGTCTGATTCAACTTGATGGCGACTGCCTAGAAATCCACAGGCGACATGCTCAGTCCCAGGAGGCGCCTGCTTACCTTTCAGACTGAGCACGGGGCTGAGGCAGGGAAGGCAGCTGTGCATTACCTCTGGGTTGTCGGTCAGGTAGATCTGTCTGGAGATGTTGTTTATCGCACATATCCACTGCAGAGGACATTAAAAAACCTGCTGAATCCCCAAGTCACCCACTCTACTAGGAAAGAAGTGCAACAAACAAAACCTTTACCTCTTCATTTTCCTTCCTGCTTTCTGCCTGGAGGATTATTCCCCTGAAATAAAGTGCATCTAAGTAAGTGCTTCTCAATCTCAGCGACTAAGGATTACTCTACACAAACTGAACTTGGCTGGTGTCCCGAAGGGAAAGGGTCAGGAAGGTGGCATGATGGGAAGGAAAGAAATGGGGGTTCTGGCTCTGCCGCTCATTTACTGTATGATCGTGGACAAACACTTCCTTTCCCTGGGGCTCAGCTTTCTCAGCTATCAAATGAGCAGGCTGGACTCAGATCTAGGAGCCCAAGTAGGTGATTCTACAGTGTGGACCATCTTGTTGGCCCTCTTAGATGATCCAAGGCAGCCAGGGCGCCGGCCCAGCCGCTCTCTCAACCACAGCCAAAGAAGGAATTAGCAGCCCTTACACTCCTCCCCGAGAACTCAAAACTCTGCCCATGGAGGGCAGGGAATGGGGTTGGAGACAAATACTACTGCCCGACCTTTGCAAAGGCTTAGCTCTGAAGGGGCTCCACAGCTGCTAGTTCCTTTGCTCCTCGTGTCTGCAGCAGGGGGAACATGGGTCTGACCTGTCTTATATCTGAGGAAACCGAGGCCCAGAGGAGTGACGTAACTGCCTGGGAGCATGACTAGAATCCAGGCATCTTCATTCCCACCTCTTCTCCCATCGCCTGGGAGGAAGGATGACGTCTAAAACTGCTCTGCCAATCTGCCAACACAATACCAACACTGCCGCCACCTCGCCTGAATGTGCTATTGTTCAAATCAAATCTCGACTCAGAACCCCAATGTAGAGAGCAAATCCAAGTAACAGCTCACTGCAGGACTCTCCCCCAGGCAGGTGAACCCTGGAGCACCTCATGGGGCTCTGAACTCCTTGGAGCACAGTTTGAAACCACTGCTCTAAGTGACGGGGGATCCCACTGGGATGGCATCTACTGTGAAAGACCCAAGGCTGCTACTTCAAAAGCATGAGCTCCTCTGGGCCCCTGAGGGTCACGGGATATGTGGGGACAGCATGCTAACCAATGACACTGCTAGCTGAATGCATGGTTCACATCTCCTGCCTCAGCTGGAACGACGGGCTCCTCAGGCAGCTTCCTTACCTACTCCCCCCTCACCCCTGCTCCATCATACTACAAACACAAATGCTTGTTTAGCAACAGGCAAGGAGGAGCCACAGCGTTCTCTCTGAGAATCTGTGTGGACAAACAGCTCCTTCTACTGCCATCTTACACACATAGGTCACCTCGTCTCCGAAGCCCCAGACAAATCCTCCCTGGGACTCCTGAAATAAGGCAGGTTGGATCCCATACAGGTCATGTGTGATTGCTTAAAGAGAACATAAAAACATCCTCCCGAAGGTCAACAGTACTGGATGGAGCCTCTCCCATGGAGGGCTGGCAGGGAGGAATGAGCTACGAGGCCCTTGGCAGGGTGGAGGCACTACACTTGTTCTCCTCCCCAATAAAACCCGGGTGGCATACGATTTCCCATTAGGCGTGGTGATCTGGAAGCAGTAGCGTCGGTCTTCACAATCCACTGCCATCACTGAGCAGTTGTCCAGGTCCTGGATCAAACCTCCGGCCACAGCTCCCCTGGGCTGACACATGAGGTTCCCGCCTTGCGTGAAGAAGTAAAGTCTCTCCCAAGTGGTGGTGACCAGTCCTGTTTTACTGTAAGAAGTGTGTTTTTAAAAAGCCCATTAGTACTAGAAAGCGGCACCTCAACATCTTGCTGCCTCTTTATGGGTATTGGTGGCATTTTCGAAATAATTCCCTTATATTAAAGCAAAACTGCTTTGAAAACAATTCAAGTACAAAGAGTAGCAGAAGAGGTCCAATTTAGCTTAAATGATCTCGGAGATTCTGGGATCTGCTCACACGGGAGACACCAGTCCCACAGCCAACTCCCACGTGTGGGCAGGATGTGCCTACCTCCAGTGAACCAGACTCTGGCTTCTACCTGATATCTGGAAACAGAATTAGTCCATCATCATTACGAATGGAAAACATGGAAGATCATTTCTCTAAGACATGGAGCTGAACTGCTCTAAATCTTATCAGAGGCCCTAGGATCACCGTGGCCACAGCACAGAATCCTGGGGGCGTTTACGAGATTCAGTTTTGCTCAGCTGGATGTTATTCTTGTTTTGTGAGCTGCTTACAAGAGGAAAATCCAGTAACTGGCAAATAACACCAGAACCTGGTGGAGTTTTGTCTCTGTACAGAACGAAAGGAGACGTTTGGCTTGTGATCTCAACAAGCTTACAGCCCTTTGAAGAGCTCTACCCTGGGAAGAAAGCAGCTGGCAATTCCTCTTACAGATCCTCTATTTGGGGGATACCAAATACATCTACTTCAGTCAGTATTTACTGAGTACCAACTATGTGCAAGGCACTAGATTTCCCACCTCACTAATTACAATAATTTCCAAAAATAGTAATAGCTACCATTTGAGTGCTTACTACCTGCTAGGAATTACCTCATTCAATCCTTGCAACAGCTTTATGAAGCAGGTGCAATTACCAGCTCTAGTTTATGGCCATGCAATCGAGGCCCAGCCAGGGGATCTGACTGACACTGAAGCCGAGTCTTCACCAGCCCTGAAAGCAGCCTCCCTCTGCTCTTAGATGCAACTGAACCTGATCATCCCTTTAATTCAAAATGGACGTTTAAAGACCTGAATGTTAAATATGTGATTCAGTCTATATGAATCCAGATGACTCTGAAAGCTTCCCGGCCCTCAGACCCTGGCCTTGATGGCTCCCACCTGTCAGGGGCCTGGGGCAAGGGGAGGGGCAAGATGATAACTCTCAATGGTCCAGGAGGATGACAGTTAAGAGCAGTCTGCCTGCAAATGGCCACGGTGACCTGGGACATGGGTGGCCTGCCCCTTGGAGCCCATGCACTAGGTTCTTACTCACGTGATTGTTTCAAGCCCATCTCTCAGTGCTTGGGGACCTGGGCCCAGAGGCTTCCTGTGTCCCAGGCAGAAGGGGTGCTGGGGTGCTGTGGTGGGCGTTCTTCCCGCAGCTCAGCCACCCCTACCCTTTAATGGGGCGCTTCGCTTAGCAGATGCTCTCTAGCCACTCCTGGGGAAAACAAATTTGAGAAAGAGGGCGGCAATGGCATTCTTACTTTCTAAGATTAAGGTAACCAGCCTTCTGGATGAGGTTCCTGTTGATCTGTGGTGTAGACACATCAAAGTCTGGAGTGTAAACAGATTCATCAACAGAAAGTAATTCTTGCTGGGACACACGCATCTTTTCCGCTTCAGCTTCCTGTTCCACCTGAATGCTTAAGACAGAAGGTGACAGGTCAGTCACTCATCACTGGCTGACCCAGCACTGCTGAGCAGCAGATGGCAGCACCGTCTCCCACCGCTTCCTGCCTTAGGAACGGAGCTGCAGCCTGCACTGGAGCCACGACTCTCCACCTTATCTAACTTCCGCCCTGAAAGCTGGGATCATGGGGGCTCAAGTGTGCACTACCAGAAGTGTTTATGTGACTGTTCTTTTAAATAAGAAATACCACTAGACAACGCCTGAACCCAGCCAAACAATTTCTCTGCTGACAAAGTGGTAAACGTGCTCAGAAGTCTTGAAGCAAATTTTAAGAGGAAAACAATGAGGAGCCCATCCTCAGGGGATGCATGTGCAGGTGGCCTGTGAGGAGGCTGGAAAGGAAGGAAGGAGGGAACAGTAGTCATTCCTGCCGCGACCCCGCCCCTTGGTGGAGACGGCCACCGGAGGGAGGAAAGTGACCAGGAGGTGGTACCAAGATGTAACACAAAGCCTAGGACAATGCTTTTCCTTTGACGACAGCCACACAATGGCCCCAAGACTGCAGGGGCTGGCTAGCCAAGGGCTGCCCACGCATGTACGGGGGTAAGTGGGCCAAGATCTGGGCTTTTGTGTGTGCGCGCGCTGAGGTGTGGAAAACCCGGAAGCTTCAGCTTGAAATAAGCAGCTGCCCTTTCTCCCTACAAATTGAGGCCTCAATAGCCACCCCCTGCCAGTGGTGACAGTCTCGGTTATAAAGTCCTGAACACACAGCCCATCCATGTGAAAGAGCAAACTTTAGAGGCATTGCTCCACTTCTGCACTGTGTTAAAGGAGAGAAGGCTGAATGACAAATTTAAAATCAGAGGAAACCCTGGGGGCCAGCTAGTCCACAGTTTCACAGAGTGAGCTCCTCAGGATTTTCTCTCAAAAGGCTTCTTTAATTACATAAGTTTGAGCTTGTACATTCCATATTCTCCTCTTGGAGAGTCACAATGCACACTGCTGGTATCTTGTTTAATGCAGCTCCATGCAAGCAGTCAATCTAAGTTAATTTGGCTTTTCTGACATTGGAATGGAATGACTGGGCACTTCACCACTGGCGGCCTTTGGAGAGGCAAGCTGGAGCACAAACCTCACGAGCTTAACCTGCTTGTCACTGCCAAGACTGAGAGAACGGAAAGAGAGAAAAACGTTAAGCAGGACAGGAGGTGGAAGGAGGGAGCCCAAAGTATACCAAACCACTGAAGCTTTCGTGGGGGAGAAACCTCCGAGGACCTGATGAAAGGTAAGGACTGTCTCCCCTAGAAAAAGACTTAGATGCATCTCGCTCACAACTTCAGGGAGCTTTCAGTCACTGCCTCTTCCTCCCCTCCCCAACCGTACAGACTCAGCTTCAAAAACTCCGAGCTAGTCCAAGGCTCCCGAGAACTCAAGGAACAGGGTAGAAAAGTGACTGCTTTCAAATGGTTCTCTTTGAAGATTAAAAAAAAAAAAAGCATGTTTCATGTAATTAAAAAAAGGAATATATATGTATATAAAAAAAGAATATATATATGTGTGTGTATATATATCCCCCCATATACATATATGGGAGCAGCAGCAGGAGCCAAGAAAAAAGGCAGAAGTGTATCACTGTAGGTTTAGGAACTGGAAAAAGAGCCAGTCCCTGGCTCTGTGGGGTGGTGGCAACGGCCTTGCCTGGGTTTAGGCTGCCTCTGAATCCGCTCACATCTTGCTACAGTAGAGCACAGGGCAGGCCCCTCCTAGGGCAGGGAGTGCAGGGCTCTGGAGCCACCAGTGGACACTGTTCCTTGGCCTCTCTGCACTGGCTGGCTGCTGACGCGTGGCAGTGTGGCAGCAAAAGCACCTCGTGGATGGAGAAGAGCGGCAGTCCTTATCTATCACCAATATAAACCTGCAGTGACAGGACAATTAGAATTCTTACACTGAATGCTTTAGTGTTTGAACCAGGAGGTTAAGTGCCCCCAGGCTCCTCTGGGAGCCCCGCCTGCTGTCCGTTGCCCCCGTAATGAAATATGCCTTGTCAAGCAGCAGAGCGACCTCACACACCCGGACCCAGCCCTCGAGAGAAGGCTGTGCAGCCAGGACCTTAACGCCCGGAACTGTTAGAATGGCTGGTGCCCCACTTTGGTTGGCCTAGTAACCACTCACAGAAATGCGACAAGGAAAGAGGAAATAGGCTCTAGGATCTGCAGAAAGAATACACCATAGCATCTCAAAAACAAGCATAAATGACCCACCTCCATTAATAAAAAAATCTAATACATAAAAAAAATTTGAAGCACAGATGGTTCTCCCAGAACCATGGAAAAGCATGGAATTCTGAGTTAAAGCAGGATAAGAAAGAGACAGTGAGAGATCAGGGACAGAGAGCTATGAGAGAAACTGAACAGGCTCCCTTCTTTCACTCTCTCCTAACATTCCCGGGGCTAAGGATCAAATCAAAAGCAGGAAACTGAACTCGGACCCCACAGACGGCTTTCTAGCGTAGTTCCAAATCCAGCCCGCATCCCTCACTGCGGCCGGTGGCCAGAAGGAAATGGCTCAGTGATGCTCAGGAGGGAGTGTATGCTTTCATAAAGTACAGCCCCCCCCCAACTTTGTATGAACGCTCAGCACTGGTTTTCCATGGGATTCATTCTTTATTTTCAGCATTTTAGGTAGACTTCTGCCTAAATAAATTCCATTGGTTTGCCTTCTTAAGGTATTGTGAAATGCACATTCTAAAGAAAATAAGCAACTTTCTCTTCATTTTTCCACACAAGATAATATACTCATATTTCCGTTTTGTATATTTACTTATATATACATGCACACATACAGAGAGACATATTTTTCTACTTCAAAAATCCTAACCAGCACTCAAGGAACTGCAGGTCTGTGGTTTAATGAAAAACGCCTGGCACTGGGGGGCCTGGGAACCTCTTCTGGGCTCACCACCATGGAGGCGGACGGCAGGCGGCACAGGGAGTCAGAGCAGCCAAAGCATCAATTACACGGTGGGCAGGACAATCTGAAGAGATGATCTTGTATTTTTTTTAAAAAAGCACTTGCCAGGCTGAACTGCAGTTTGTTAAATTAATTCAAAGAAGGCTTTATGCCTCATTTATCTATTCTAAATGTGATGGTGAGCATTTCCTGAAAAGTTGCAGCACTGCTGGCTGCCAACCCATTAGCTTTCAAAGATAAAGCTCTTCTGAAGCCTCTTCTAAATCCACAGCAAGTCTAAACCGGACTCATAGGCTTCTAACATGTGAAACCTGACTAGACAAAAGGAGACCCAAAAAACACGAACTTGGACATAATGGGAAAGTAGCCCTGTGGACATTTTCACCTTTGATTTATACATAATCTTTTCCCACAGTGGGGAGGACTCTGAGCTCCATACAAGTTGGTAACTGCAGAAATCATTATTTTTCAACCACAGTATTCACAAATACTGACACATTCATTGGCAGCTAAGAGGAGGGTGCTGCTTCTGAGAGTTTATGGAGTGACCAGGGGCTCTGGGGGACCCTCGGCAGTCAGAACCCTCCCCACCGCCCGGAGAGGCTGATTCAGCAGGAAGGGCAAAAGGCACCCAAGATCCAAAGTGGAGGGCAGCATTACCTTTGAACCATGTCTGCAACGGAGGATAAAAAGCTGTCCATACTTTGGTTAAACATCTCTGCTCCCCTCTTAAAAAAGTTAATCTGAAAGATATAATTGTGATATTCTGAAAATCATCTAGGAAAGGAGATCGATGAATGCATTAAATGTGAGACTGACAGCATGGGGGCGGCCAACACTGGCTGGCTGGCCCCTCCTTGCTTGCAGCACTCGCCACATCCCTACTGAGCCCCCTCCACACCCCAAGGCTGAGAGCTACTCCCAAAGCCCCAAGTGCATCTGTGGCAGGTGGATGGCGAGACCCAGCTATCGAGCTGAAAGGCCGTCAATAGCAGGAATAACGTAAGTTAACTGCTTGGTACATACCAGGTGCATCAATAATGACTAGTGATCACTATTTTTTTTTGAGGAAGATCAGCCCTGAGCTAACATCTGCCGCCAATCCTCCTCTTTTTGCTGAGGAAGACTGGCCCTGAGCTAACATCCGTGCCCACCTTCCTCTAGTTTATATGTGGGATGCCAGCCACAGCATGGCTTGCCAAGCGGTGCCATGTCTGCACCCGGGATCCGAACCGGCGAACCCTGGGCCACCAAAGTGGAACATGCGCACTTAACCGCTGCGCCACCGGGCCGGCCACTCACTATTTTTGACATTATCATCATCAGCTTTTTTTCTGTGTGAATTCTATATAGTAAGTTTCTTAAGAGCAAGGATTAGGCCTTATTCATGTTTGCATCTCCAGAGGCTAGATGGGTGTGTGACACATGACACCCACAGCATCAGTAAGACACTGACAAGCTCAAAATGGATCAAAGACCTAAAGGTGAGACCTGAAACCATAAGGCTTCTGGAAGAAAATGTAGGCAGTACACTCTTTGACATCAGTATTAAAAGGATCTTTTCGGACACCATGCCTTCTCAGAGAAGGGAAACAATAGAAAGAATAAACAAATGGGACTTCATCAGATTAAAGAGCTTCTTCAAGGCAAATGAAAACAGGATTGAAACAAAAAAACAACCCACTAACTGGGATAAAATATTTGCAAGTCATATATCTGACAAAGGCTTAATATCCATAATATATAAAGAACTCTCGCAACTCAAACACAAAACATCAAACAACCCAATCAAAAAATGGGCTGGAGACATGAACAGACATTTCTCCAAAGAAGATATACTGATGGCCAATAGGCACATGAAAAGATGCTCATCATCGCTGATCATCAGGGAAATGCAAATCAAAACTACACTAAGATATCACCTTACACCCGTTAGAATGACAAAAATATCTAAAACTAATAGCAACAAATGTTGGAGAGGTTGCGGAGAAAAAGGAACCCTCATACACTGCTGGTGGGAAGGCAAACTGGTGCAGCCACTATGGAAAACAGTATGGAGATTCCTCAAAAAACTAAAAATAGAAATACCATACGATCCAGCCATCCCACTACTGGGTATTTATCCAAAGAGCCTGAAGTCAGCAATCCCAAAAGTCCTATGCACCCCAATGTTTATTGCAGCATTATTTACAATAGCCAAGACATGGAAGCAACCTAAGTGCCCAGCAACAGACGAATGGATAAAGAAGATGTGGTACATATATACAATGGAATACTACTCAGCTGTAAAACAGAACAAAATCATTCCATTTGCAATAACATGGATGGACCTTGACGGAATTATGTTAAGTGAAATAAGCCAGCAAGAGAAGGATAATCTGTGTATGACTCCACTCATATGAGGAATTTAATACTATGGACCAAGAACAGTTTAGTGGATACCAGGGGAAAGGTGGGGTGGGGGGTGGGCACAAAGGGTGAAGTGGTGCACCTACAACATGACTGACAAACATTAATGTACAACTGAAATTTCACAAGATTGTAACCTATCATTAACTCAATAAAAAAAAAAAAGAAAGAAACTGACAAGCACTTGACGCAGCCCCGCAGGACATTCTCCAAAGTGAAGCCTACACTGAAGGCCACCATCTGACTGACTCCATTCACCGAGCCTTCTGTGGCTCTGAATGCAGCCTGGACAGATGGTGACGTGGCTGAGATATCGCAGAGGGAAATGGGCTAAAGACCCCTACAAAGCTCTTCCAACCCTGCTATCAACTTAAAGGGGATTGTGTATGTGAAGGACACAGCAGGGCCCTGGCATTGCAAAGGTGCTCGACACAGGTGAGGTCCCTTCCTGTTCCCCAGGGTTCTCTGATGGCCACTCTCTGCCCAGGGGAGAGCGGCCCTAGGAGATCTGAGGGCTATACAGTTCAAAAATGAAAACTGCAGTGGCTGGCTTTGTGGGGACCGACAGAAGGAATTCCTTACTTCCATGACTCCCATGTATTCACTTCCCAGAAAGTCTGGGTCCCCTGACAAACCCTGAAGGGCGGGGGCATGGGAAGGAGAGGAAGAAGACCATTTCTGTGCATTACTGACATCTGCAACCACCCCACCCTGGCAAGCTCAAGGTTCCATTTCTTCTATATAAAAACCAGGATTTAAAAACCCTGAGTCTTGGGTAGGAACTGCTCCATTTTACACGCCTGAGTGTAGAGAGGTATCAGTTGCAAGCTTAGGTCATGAACAAAAGAGAGAAAACATTCTGCTGGGTCACGAGTAATCTCTCACGCATTACCCCAGCTCGGCTCTGATCTGGATGCAGCCCTTGCCTTGGGTGGCGGGTGCAGAAGTCCACCTCTCACCCCGAGGAGGCTAGTATGTTATCAACACGGTGCTGACATTACTTCTGTTCCTCAGATACCCTGGGGAAGTACGTACACCAGTGTCCTTAGTTTTCACAACACCAAACAGACGATGATCATGATTATCCTAATGCAAGGTAACACAAGCAGGGAGATATTCTGGCCCCATGATCTTGGAATCACACAGAGCTCAACACTGTCAATGCCATTTTGAATCCCTGAAACGTTAAATATCAAAGTCTGTTAAATGAGGATTCTGTATGTCTTAGGGCACAATATCATGCTGGCTTTTCCTCTCCTTCTCCTCCCTGGACTCCTTGGAATTTATACTCGAAGTATATGTCTTAGCCCTTCTACTATTCTGTAAGCTTCTTGGGCGGGGGCTCATGCAGTCTCTAAAAGACCTGACGAATGAATGAATGGAATGAAGGGATAAGATACTGCCTTCTACAGCCACATTTCATAGAACTTACCCTGTAAATACTACACTAGAGTTCGCTTCTGTGTTCTCATAAACCTGTAAACACATTACAAAACCTCAGTCTGTTTGCAGCACAAGGACTGAATCAGGATTTCATTGAAAACCTGTTTAACGAGGGCTAGGTAAGGCAGAAATGGAGTCAAACCACCTCCACCACGGTGGGTGGTGCTGAGACGCCTGACTCAGTGGAACATCATCCAAAGACCAAAGTTCATGTGCCTCTGGGAAGAGGAGGCAGTACCAGGGCCATATGACCATCAGCCAACAAAGGCGGATGCCCAACGAACATTGATTTAAAGGGGCGGATGAGGCAGAAGGAGAGCAAATGCTTTGGAATCATCCAAAAGACTCACGGGTCAGACACCACATGGTCTAAGAGAAGGGACCACAGTTTTCATCAGGATTTGCAAAGTCTGCAGGGTGAGGGACTATTTGGTCTTGTGTCTTGAAATCTGAATACTTTTCACATGAAAAATGAAACATGCCATCCTCGGTCCTCAAAAATGCTGCTGCTGCCTAACAACGACGGTGTGCTCTGCTCTGCTTTCCCAGGCCTGGGGCTGCATCTGTGCTACTGTGCCCACGGTCTCCTCTTCTCCCGCGGCCAGCATTCACTTACAAAGTCCGTGCTGGGAGAAGTGGGGTAGTCCCTGACCACAAAGGAATGAAACCAGCCAGGATCAAGCCCGTCCTTTAGGCCTTGTGAGGACCTCCTCTAACCAACAGGGCTCCCTAAGCACTGACCGAGCAGGCCTACAGCTGCTCATCTTTCTGAGACTCTAAGTCTGCAACCCTCCCTGACCCTGGGCTTCTAATGAGCAGAGATTACTGCTCCAAAGGCAAGGACTGTCCATCCAGGCAGCACAGACAGACAGGAGGTATTCTCTAACAAAGCTAGGATATCCGCCAGGTCAGAGGTGTGTTACTTCACGGAAGGAGAGAGGAGGGCAACAGAGAGCAAGCGAGTACACACCTGTGGGCACAAGTGCGCGGAAGCTGGATGGCTCCCAAGGATCTGCTGCGGACTGGAGCCCACAGCTGGAGAGTGCTAGTTTTTGGTTTAACCCAGCTTTACTCAGATGACACAGAAAGATTACACTGCTTTACTTAAACATGACCTCTGACGGCAGAAGCTGACCTTAGCGTCCTCACCATTCAACAACAGAACAGCCATATTAAGAAGACAGCCATATTAAGAACAGCCATATTAAGAGCATGGATGTTTAAAGGGCCTCTCTTGTTCTCCTTTTCCCTGAATCAAACTGATGTTGTGTTTTTTGAAATTTAAGTATTTTTAAAATGTACTATAAAAATAATAGACGCTCACGTTTGTGGTTTTAAAAAAGTCGCCTTTTTTCTTCTCAACATTTTGCTTCCTTCCATCACTTTCTGTTCCTAGACTGCCACTGAGAGAAGGGTCCTGGCTGCGTTTCTCACATGTCAGAGTGAGGTTCTGGAGTCCACAGAAGCGGGGCTAACACAGGGCAGGGACGAGGGTGAGGGGTGGTGACATTCGCCTCACGTGCACACTCATCCTGTCCCTACCAGGCTGCTGCCATGCAGTCAAGGCCCCTTCCTGAAACTGGAGCCTCCCTGCAGATGAATGTTCCGGAGACCACTAAACGGGGCAAGAAGGCAAACACACACTCTGCAGAGACTTCATCAAGCAGTGGAACATCCTCCCGCGCCCCAGATGCCACAGAGCTGGCAATCCCCTCGGCAATGCACCATGTGAGAACCACGCAGCTGAGGGTGACCTTCACCACAGAGAGCAGCGGAGGGCTGTGCGGAGTCCTCGGCCGGAAGCCTAGCTCTACCAACCTGGGCAGTTGGCCGCTTCTCAGAAACTGGGACAGGCCTGGCTTTCATTTGGATCAGAGACAGAGGGCCATGGCGGCTCCTTGCCACAGGAGGCTTGGGACTAAGGCCATCATTTCCCGCACATACAGCCTAACAAGTCCAGCTCACGATGATCCAGCCCACCTGGAAGCTGTCCAAGTGCTGAATCCAGAAAGTTTCCAGGGAGGTGGTGCATCTGTGTTTCTTTCTCTGATGATGTTTCAGTTCCTCCTAAATTACCTCAGCAGAATGCCATGCTGTTCTCCAGAGCTAGCGTTAGGGCTCACCCTCTGGGGAAGGGACTACCCTACCTGTCCGTGGGCAAAGCCTATCATGGGCTCCATCATGGCCACACGCTTTCGGTACTGCAGCGCGTTGAGGGCACAGTAGTACTGAAGGGAAGAAAGGTGCTGTTTCCGCCGTGCAGCTGCCACCTCTTTGACAACTTCAGTCTTCACCTGATGAAGAGGTGAAAGGAAAACTTCATGTTGTCTAATGGACATGGCAATTCTGTAAGAGCATGCAACTTCAGAGCACGTTTGTTTACTCATTAGAACCATTTTTGTGACAAATGTAATAAAACACAGATAAGGTTCCATCTCAGGTTTTAAAAAATCCAAAGTAACAGCATCTCTGCTTGTGAGGCTGCACTGGGGTGAAGCCAACACTTTCTGCTGGTAGCACGACAAAGCGCTACAGTCCTTCAGCAAAACAGGGCGCGTGCACTGAAAGCCACCGACAGTTTAGTTCACTCACAAGACTGTATTCCAAGGAAATAATTTAGCCCAAGGAAACCAGGGAAGAGAAGTAAAAAGTTACATGCATGAAAACTGTCAATATTATCTATGGTAGCAAAAAAGCAAGAGTTAAAGAATCAGAGGCAACACCCAGGGCAGGCAGTTCAAGTGACCAAGTGTGTATGAGTCAGATATGCAGTACCAAGCTCAAGCTGAAATCACTGTGTGATTATAATTTTACAATGGTTCCAAGCTGGCATTTAATAAACCACTTTGAAAAGCTAGAATAGAGAAGCAGAAGTCTACTTACGAGATTTAAAATAAATAATTTAAAAATCCATGTATAGGAAAAAAAAAAGAAAAAATTCATCAAGACACCCTCAATGTCATGAATTCACAACAGGAAGATACAAAAGGAGCTTAAGTAAATGAGATGAAAAACAACATATGAGATAGGTATTCTTACCTTTTCATTCTCCTTTTTTTTAGGAAGTTTGCTATATTTTGCCATTGAGAGGTCATGCTCTAAAAATAAAGAGAGATTTTAGCACCCAGACAGGTTGAAAGCCAGGAACATTCACAGACAGGCTGAAAGGCAAGAACATTCATTCAGCATCTCCACCCACACACATCAATAAATCCACACACCAAGAATGGAGAAGATGCTTACCATTGCTGGCGAGTCCAAAAAGATCCTTTAAAGTGCTTACTTCTGAACAAGAGAAAAGAAACATTTTAGAGCAAAAAAAAACCAAAATATGCCAACCCAGCGCTCTGTGCTTTCCCAAGAAAATAAAAGTCTATGCACAGAAGGGGAAGGTTCTGCCAGCGGCCCCTCAGGTCCTCTGCTCTCGTGGGGTCCCAGCCTGGTGGCTGGGAATCCTGCTCTGAGTTTGTGGCCTCAACTGCACCCCATACTCAGTGACCCTAACTGCCCACAGAGCCATTCCTCTCCAGAGAACGCTTGGGGATGTGGGCTGGAGTGCGTGGTAGCCAAGTACTATTCATGCAGATGGCAGTGTAGACGTAAGGTCTGATTCTTTAGCTCTCCAAAAAAGTTTTAACACATCAGAATCAGAATGCCCCGACTATACCCAGAACCTAGAAATTTCCTGTTGTTGCCATTCTAACATCTGGCAAAGTCACCACTGACAAAGGAATGTGAGGCACTTGGTTTTTTTTTTTTTTTTGAGGAAAATTAGCCCTGAGCTAACTACTGCCAATCCTCCTCTTTTTGCTGAGGAAGACTGGCCCTGAGCTAACATCCATGCCCATCTTCCTCTACTTTCTATGTGGGACGCCTACCACAGAATGGCTTTTGCCAAGTGGTGCCATGTCTGCACCTGGGATCCGAACCGGCGAACCCTGGGCCACCAAGAAGCGGAATGTGCGAACTTAACCACTGTGCCACAGGCCGGCCCCTGGGGTGCTTGTTTTAATGAAAAAATCGGAAGCCATCTTGTATATCAAACCCGCAACAAGTCAACACCATAACTATCCCCCCATGTGGGTGCTCCACTCATCATGCACAAAGGCAGCTTCACAAAGTCCGAGACCAAAAACCGAAAAAGGTCAATGAGAGCGATGACAGTCCAAGGTTAAAAATTCAAAAACAGATATCTCAAAGAAAGTGATACTTTCAACAATTCTCAAACAATCCATTTTTGATTGTCAAACAAAGCAAAGCACTTTCACATCTTCTACCTTTTTAATTTGCCTCAAAATTGCCTCTAGCTTTTAAATTTCTCTTCACGTTATTCTTACTCTTTTCGATATCAGGCTGCTTTCTGCCTTTGTTGTCTTGCATTTTTCTTTCTTTCTCTCTCACCCTTTACTTCCTATTGGAGCAGAGTTTTAGGGCTTTTTCTATATAAATTTTACATAGCTTCCTTAATATCTTTTGTGTTGTCTTCATTCAGATTATGTACTTGTATTGACGGGTAAATGAAAAAGGCAGAAAATGTAAGATAAAATGCCACTAAGCAGAGGGGATACCAGATTCTAATTTGGCTCTGACGTTGATTCAAGTATGAGCTGGGCCAAACACTTCAAATTTATGTCTTGGCGTCATCAGAAAAAGATACTTTTGATTAATTGTTTTCATAGCTACTAAGAGGCTTCTCTTTTTACTACTACTACACAGTTTTATTCTCTTAAGAAAAATCTCCCCTGGGCAAATACTCCTAACCCGCAGTGGAGGCCTCCCGGATTAAGCAGACCGCCATCACTCACGCCGCGGGGCACGCTGCACCCCAGGCTGCCCCCGCCTGGAAGACACACCTCTGACAATGCAGGTCTTAGGGTGTGCTCCTTTTTTCTCCTGAAAGACCTGGAATCTGTTTTAAAATGATATCCCCACACATTTCTGATGATTTTATTCAGAGACAATCTTTTTTAAAAATGCGCTCCATGAGGCTTTTAGTGAGTACAGGGTAATCAGCACACGACTACATTTGGGTGTGGGATTTACATGCAATTAGAGATGAGCAACAATAAAAAACACTGAAAATCCTCCTCAATCAAGGTCTTCATACAAGCTAACTAACACATATTTGTTATTCTTTCTTTATCACATTTTAGTGCTGTCAGACTGCGCTTGGTACTTTGTGGCCAGCTCTGCCACAGCCCCCTACAGCCTCAGGTGACATGACCACAGGGAATCTCAGAGTGAGGGGAAAACATCGTCTTTAAGATTTAGCCTTTGATTTACTGCATCTTTTCTGCCTGAAAAACTTTTTAATTTTAAGGTGTTATATTTTTAAAGTAGTAGTATTATATTGAACAGATCGATCTTTCAGTACTCAAGTTTAGACTTTTTTAGTCAGCAATTTTTTATATCAGTGTTTTAAAAGTACAATTCTTTAATCTCTAAGCAATGAATATTTTCAATGAAATAAAGAACAAAAGGACTAGAAAATTTGGGTTCTTTTTTGAAACATCAACTAAATTTTTTCAAGATTATTTGTTCTTTTGTATAGTCATTTTTTGATTACCTCGATTTCTAGGAGATATAAAATTATTCTAAAGTTTTATTTTAGTTAAAGAACCAAAATTAGTCCAAAAGGCCAACTAGGTTCTCTGAACTAGTCACAGACACCCGCCTCAGTAAATGTGCGCTCCAGGAGAAGAGGGACCCCGGGTGTGTGGCTTGTTCACAGCTGCCCCTGCAGAGTCCAGCAGGGATAAAGCATGGTCCCCCCATCCCTTTCTCCTCGACCCACCCTCTCTGCATCCCAAAGCATTCGTGGCTCCCAAGAACAGCATGCCTTTACGTATGCTCCCAATCTGTAATATAAGCCTTGACATCTTTGTCCACTTGGTAAACTCTTATTCATCTTTCAAAACCCAGCTCAAGAGCACCTTCTCCAGGAAGCATTCCCTGGCACCCTATCCTCAAAAGAGTAATCATGCCTTTCTGTGTGCTGTTTCTATTCCTTGTACATCTCAGTCTGCTGCCCTCATCACATGATAATATAATTGTCTGCTTCCAAGTCTGTTTCCTTATTAGCCTGTGAGCTTTAGGTGAGCCAAGGACACAGTGGGAATTCAATAACAGCTAGCTAAATCGAATTGCTCAAAAAAAGGGGATATTTCTTAATGATCCACACGTTTAAAGAAATTAATGCAGTAAGAATTATTATTAAAAGAATTAATATCTTGAAGGTAATTGACACTGAACTCAGTTACTTTACCTGTAAGATCCTTTTCTCGAAATTGTATAATAGGTAAGACCATTGTGTCTGCCAACTGTTTAGCCAGCTCTGTATGGAGAACATTAAGCTGAAAGAAAGAGAAATTTTACTGAAGAAGATTATATTCCCGACACTGTCTTATTTCACCAAGGGATCACAGTGAACACTTCCGTGGTTAAGGAGCTTAGGCAGACTTCCTTAGCAAACAAACGCCCTTCATAAGACAGTAAATGATAGAGGCCAAGAGGTATTAAAAACTAAATGCAAGGTGCCTACTGACGAGGCCGTCAGTGAAGTTTGCTAAAGGAGTCTCCAAGCCGATAGCTATTGTTTGTTTACTGTGCAAACTCTGGTTCTGTGCTCTCAATCCGAGCCACACCCGCCTGGAGCAGCAGGCTTTGATGTGCTTGCAGTGAACACAGGTAACCGCGAGAGCTCGGCACAGTCACTCCACCCGCCGCCGGGAGCTCTCGCACTCTCTGAGGGGGGCTGAAGTCAACCTGAAAGACAGGCCGCTGGGAACCTACTAACCCTAAACCGCAGCCCGCCGTGGGCCTGGCAATGGCTCTGGAGAAAGAAGGCTCCCTACTGAAAGAACTCAGTCAGATTTCAGGCCTCTGCTCTGCAGAAAAGGATCTTTCTAAGGACAGGAAGACTGTATTCAAATGTGATCTTCCTCACCAGATAATTCCAACAGCTCTGGATTCTTTCTCCCCTTCCACCTTGTCAAGGCCTTTCTAAAGCCTGTCATTGTAAACGGTCTAAGAGAAACAAACATTACCCCCATCAGCACCACCACTTCTGAGTACTTTTTATGTGTCAGCTTTATACACTTTATTCCATTAGTTCTGACCCACTCTGTGAATTATCATTATCCCCATTTGGGCAGATAACTCCAAATCCAGAGAGTAAATTAGGGGCACGGCTGGGATTTTCATCACAGGCTATTGGGATCTAAAATCCATGCTCTTCCCACTACACTGTCCTGGATACAGAGTTTGTCTTTCACGATCACAAAGCTGCCAAAACTTCAAATGTCTGGTAGTCTAGACACCAACAAGGAACACAGCGGAAGGGATTCTTCCTCAGAGCCCCAGGCTTCCAGATGTTATTGAGGATGCTCCGGGATTCCTGCTGGATGAATCAGGGGAAATCAGCCACCAATCATGTTCTCAAGTAAACATTTGGCACAGTTTCTTTCAGCAGTGATGGCAGTCACATACATGAACCCCCCTTCTGCACACAGATCTCCTCCCAACAGATCTGCCTTGTCTAAGGAGGTTGCTTTGATAAGCTTAAACACTTCCCTAAGGTCAACCATTCACCAGGCAAGGGAGCTATCAGCCAAGCAGTTAATGTTCCCCCATCTTTCTTTCTTTTTCTTTCTTTCTTTCTTTTGGTGAGGAAGATTGGCCCTGAGCTGACATCTGTGGCAATCTTTCTCTATTTTGTATGTGGGATGCTGCCAGAGCATGGCTTGATGAGCAGTGTATATGTCTGCACCCAGGATCCAAACCTGCAAACCCCAGGCTGCCAAAGCGGAGCACACGAACTTAACCACTACACCATCAGGCCGGCTCGCTCTTGTTTTTTTAATTGCAGTCACACTGGTTTATAACTATATAAATTTCAGGTTTACATCATTATTATCGTGCACATGTGCCCAGTCACCCCTTTTGTCCTCCTCCCTCCTTGTTTCCCCTCTGGTACCCACCAATCTGATCTCGGTCCCTTGGTGTTTATTTGTTGTTGTTGTAATGTTCCCCCTGTCTTTCAGTCAAGCCAAAGCACGGCTGCTTTATTCTGCTGGGAATACATGAAGACAGCCATGCCAATAAATACCATCAGGACAGAATGTGTTAGCTATTTTTCCTGAATAACTTCAACAAGAAATGTACTGTTTTTTACTAACAGTTAACTGAATGAAAGCCAACAAGTATGCCTACTATGTGCCTGGCTCTGTGCTCAGTGCTCTGATATACATTGTTTAATTTACTCTTTATAACAGCCCAATTAAGTGGCTTTCCTGCTACTGCCATTTACAGATGAAGAAACCAAAACTCAAGGAGATTAAGTGGCTTTCCAATGGCTACGCACTTCACGAATGGCAAATTTCCTAGCTACCATTTTCCTCCTCATTTTTCTTAAGGACCAAAGGATTTGTCTCATTGACTTTTTGCCTTGGGGCTTGAGAGGTAGGGGACAACCACTTCTAAAGACAGTGCCTTTGCTGAGGAGAGTGGAAAGAACATGGACCACTTCTTGGCGCATCACTATCATCACAGAGAAAATGGGATAACACCATCTTCCTTGATGGCTATTGTGAGGATAAAATAGTAACACAGACAGAAAACACTGAGAGCAGAGGGCCTGACAGACACTCAGTAAATGTGATCTGTAATGACGATTCCTGTCTCAGGCACACTCCCAGGAAGTCATCTAGAAACCTTGCTTTTGGGGAAATCACCAGGGACAGAAATCTCTGTATGCCTATGACATGAAAGATCTGGTTCCAAGGCATTCTATTAAATATAAGCCACGCAAATCTCTACTTTTAGTTGGATTTTTCCTTAATTTCTGAATCAAACTACTTGTCTTGAAAAATTTTCAACATGGTTGAGGCCCAGATAGAGAGAACCACCTCAAAAGCTGTCCCCTGAGCTAAGTGCTTTCACCTGCTTAGGGATCTGCATCAGAGGATGGCTGAAACTCCTTACACGCAGAGCCTCTGGGAGGCTGTGAACCTCCCTGTAAGAGCACACTTCCAGGCTGCCATCCTTTGGGAATGATTCACTCCCCACTCAAAGAATCATCATTCCTCTGCCCATGAAAATATGGTTGTGAGTAAACATCTTAAACTGGAAGTCTTGGTTCTGGGGTTTGGACAATTAACCACATTTCCTTAGCAACTCTCTTCTAGTCAAGGAAACACACAACTTCAGTGGGTGCTGTCTACTGCTGTCCCCTGGGTTATCTATTCACTGTTATATAGAAACATTCTTCTCACTTCACCAAAAAAAAAAAACAAAACTTTTTGTTCCTCTCTAAGTACATTTTCCATTCATTCTCCTCCGCTTCTGGAATGGATATCTATCCATTTTAACATACATTTTGAAGAGAGTCACAGTAGAGGGATAGAGAAAGCTCAAAAAGAATGGGATGACTTGTTCTCTGTTATATCCCCAGTGTCTAGAACAGCATCTACTAAATAGTAGGTGGTCAATAAATGTTTGTTGAACAAATGAAGACTTGTTGGGCTGATTTGTTGAATGAATGAAAATGCAACCAGTACAATTTTATATTAATGTTAGTTTTTCATTTTATAAACTAAAAACAGCATCTGCTTCAATGATTGAACACTTAAATGATATTTGCATATTCTCTTTTTTGTTTATTCTTTATCATGATTTTCTATTATAAGTATTGCAAACTCCTTGAAAGACGAAACAGTTTATACCTAATTTTGCAGAGTTCTGCCCAGCACCAGCAGCATTTGAGCTTTTACGTTTTTTACAATTAGGATTTATGCACTTTTCCTATAACAATACTTGTTTTTCATAAATATTCCAAATGTATTATACAATACAGCTACAAAAAGAATTGCATGAAACCCACTGTAGTGGTGTGAATCCTTCCCCCTCAAAAAAGAAATGTCCACCTAGAACATGCAAATATTTGGAAAAAAGGTCTTTGCAGGCATAATGAGGGATCTCGAAATGAGATCATCCTGGATTATCCAGGTGAGCCCTAAATCCAATGACAAGTGTCCTTCTAAGAAGAGAAGACACAGACAAAAAAGGAAAACACGGGGGTGGGATGGAGCAGGGAGAGGAGAGCACATGAAGTCAGAGGTGGAGACTGGAGTGATGCCGCCACAAGCCAAGGAATGCCTGGAGCCACCAGGAGCCAGAGGAGGCAAGGAAGGACTCTCCCTTAGAGCCTTTGGAGGGAGCGTGGCCCTGCCAACAACTTGATTTCACACTTCTGGCCTCCAGAACTTGAGAAAATACATTTCTATTTTATTTTTTTTATTTATGTTTTAAGCCACCTACTTGTAATTTATTACAAGAGCCCTGAGAAACTAATACACACTCCTCATGAAACTGAATTCTTAGAAATCTTTCTTTTGGTCTATTGTTCACATATATCAAAGCCTTTCCCCTCACACCAGAAACAAACATAATAGTATACACCCTCTCTTATGAAGTGAACCTTGGAAGATCAACAAGTTGAGATACCTTCTCAGATATTTAAGTAAATACATAAAACTGGAAAGAGGGCCAACATAAAGAAGTAAGTTCAAAAAAGAATCAAATAAAATTTTGCCATGTTGCTATCTTACCTCATCCACCACTTTGGAAAAATAGTGGAGTGTAGAAATCACTTCTTCATCGCCTTTGCCAAGAGCAAAATTCTAGACCAAAGAATAAAAGAGCCAGGTGTTAAGTGAATGCTTGGGAATCCAGCACCACAGCATCACCCACAACACACTGCCCTCCACGTCAACTTCCTTTCTTCTCCCAGGAGCACGTCATGTCAGAGTGTCTAAGTGCAGAAAAGCAGAGCTCTCGCCTTGCCCGCCCCAGCGAAACATTCAACCGCCCCTCTCCGACTCTTCCTTCGTTGTTCATCACCCTTCTGTCTGGACATAACGGTATCTTTGAGTTTATTTCCTGGAATTGTTAGTCCCTCGGACACTATGAACGCTCAAGGCAGCTGATTACTTCTGTAGGCTAATTAGAATACATCATGAAGACTTTGGGATAATCACCAGTTAGAATTTATCAGTGGAAAGGAAAAGGCAAGACAAAAGGAAAAATGGAAATGGACTATGGAAAAAGAGAAAGAAAGAAATGAAAGTCTCTCAAAGAGGCCTCAGAGAATTCCTCAAAAGAACTCCACTTCAGAGAGCCCCGAGCACAGCATCACAGGCCACACACACCTCGAGTTACCTGTTTTTCGTACGCCAGCAATTGCTTAGAAAGCTGCTGAGTGGCCAGGCACATTTCATTCTGTAGGGGAAGAGCAAAGCAGGTAAGATCTGTCCAATACATACAATCACCGAAAAATGCCACCTCAGAGAATCCTGTAAAAATACCACTGTGTGTCTGTAAAATAAAAAAATATTTTGTTCAGAAATTATTTGGAAAACAAGACCAAAACAAATTAAAAGGTTAAAGCTTGCTTCCCCCCTCCCCCCAGCATTTACAAATTACTGCTCCTTCTGATCATTCAGTCAGTAAACAAGTGTAGTGAGCAGTTATAATGTGACAAACATCCAACAAAGACGTGGTCCCTGTCCTCAAGGGGTTTAATGGAGAAGCAGACATCAAAAAATAGTTACAAGCATGATGAGAACCACAGAGGAAACACTGAATTGTTAGGAGGCTCTGACAGGAGGACCTAGATGGTCTCTAGGGAAGAGATGTTTCAAGCAGACCCCTGAAGAAAGACTAGGAGTTAGCCATGGGGACGAGCTTGCCAAGAGGAACCTGTTTGAAGACAGGTTCACAGCCTGTTTGAAGAGCTACAAAGCACAGAGTAGCTGCAGCCAGGGCTGCAGGGCGTGGAGGAGAGACAAGGCTGGCGATACAGGCAGAGAAGGGCAGGCACGACTCCACAGCCGATTTAGACTTTATTCTAAGAGCAATAGGAATCTAAGCAGCACTGTGACACGATCAGATTCTATGAACTCAGCGCCAGGTCGGTAAAGATGGATAGGAACACGGAAGCACAGCTGCGGTGGCCAGGGAGGCCCGTTCTGTGCTGATTTTCACTCGCCAATACTGTCCACTTTCCTCTTCTCTTATTTAATCCCTCTAACCTCCGGTCACACAGCAGTTTTGCCCTCCTATCCGCCCACCATTAACGCACTCAACCCAGAAGACGTGCGTGGCTTTCTGAAGCGCAGTGAAGGCTCTCCTGAGGTTCAGGGCAAACTCCTAAGAGAGGGGCAGAGCCGCGGGTGGGACCTGGAGTGGATGGGGAGGGCAGCGAGCGGCCCCGGCCTCTGCTCTCTTTCTAATTCTCCTGGGTCTGCTGCTCCTTTAGGGGTCAGGCCCGAGCTCTGCAGGAGCTTGTTTTACTTCTCGTGGTCCTCCTTTGCAAGACCCATCAGAGCCTATTCCCACTTTTTTTGGCCCTCTTGGCAGACAATGAGCCAATCTGTTCCCTGACTTCCTTCATCTGCCCCAAGGAAGAGACATCAATAGACTCTGAAACGTGGGTCTTTCCCTTTTCCCCTAGAACAGTCAAGTTTCTGAATATAAGGAAAGTCCTTGGCTTTGGCATCCTACTGGGGTGCTACTCCTTTCAAAACTAACTGGAGCTGGCAGTCATGTAGCCAAGAGGAAGGCAAGCGCACAAATCAATGAGCACTACGTCCTGCACTTAGACAGGGACATGCAACAGTTCCTAGCACAGGGCAGGTTCTTGACAAAGCTTTGATGGATGGATGAATGAACAAGGTCAGAAGATTCATCTAAATCCCAAGTTTAAAAACAATACCTGGAATCAGGGTGTGAGGGGAAAAATACTCCCTAACTCTAGAAGGCAACATCACAAATGGGGGCAGTAAAATACAAAGACTGGACAGGGATGAAGCCATCGGCCAGGAGGCACCCTGCTGACCATCTTCAGCAGTGCTGTCCTGAAGCCCAGAGGGCCCGGGAACAAGGGTCTCAGCCTACTCACTGGGCCAACGCCCTGCTGTATCAGAAAGCACCCTGCCCCTCCTTCTGAGTTAGCAGCAGTGGGCTTAAGATGGATTTATTCAAGCTACCTTGGCATCTGCCTGGGGGCAGGACCATGTGGACCATGATTTGGAGATGCACAGAATCATCCTCCTAACAATAGCAGCTAAGATTTACAGAGCATTTAATTCATGCCAGACGCCACACTAAGTGCATTCCATGCATTACCTCATTTAATTCTGACAACCCTGTAGGGCAGGTTCTAATTGTTAACTCAGTTTTACAGATGAAGAAACTAAGGCACACAGAGGTTAAGCCACTTGCCCAAGGTCACACAGCTAGTTAGCAGCTGGGCCCGGATGTGCATCCTCTGTGTGATTCTAAAATCCACACTCTTAAACACTACTCTCTAAGATCCCAGGTCCTGCTAAGAGTATGAGCTGAAAAGTCCTATGCTTTAGACTAGAGTTGACAAATTGTTCCTGTAAAGGGCCAGATACTAATTATTTTTGGCTTGTGAGACATATGGTCTCTGTCACAACTACTCAGCTCTGCTGCTGTGGAATGAAAGCAGCCATAAACAATACATAAATGAATGAGTGTGATTCATTCAGTTAAACGTTATTTACAAAAATAAGAGGCCGGCCCAAGGGCTGTAATTGCTGATCCTGCTTAGACAGTAAAAGTCTCCACAGACCCGCTCTTCCACCACACCTCCCTCAGAGGGCTCCCGATTAGGCCACAGTATTTCAGATGCAAGGACCATTTTCTACTCTTCTAAGCCATTCTTTTCTCTATTTTAGAGAAGTCTAAAACTTTTCTTCTCCATATCTGTATCCTTTAGAGACTGGTCAACAGGTATGATAACCACCTCCATGCCTTCAAACAAAAAGAACCACAGGCTACTTGAATTCTCTTCTCTAGGGCTTACCGGAAACTGCTCTCAAAGTAATGGAAGAACCTGCCAGGGAGCTGGCCGCGTCAGACTGCACCCAGGAGCCGCTCACACACCTCCACCGCAGCCCAGGACGAGGCGGCACAGCACATAGCAGCTGCTTCCCAAACAGCTTCCCAAACAGCGGACAGCCGGCCTCTGACAGGCCTCCCCCGGAAATACCTTATGAAAATGCTGGGTATTTTCACATGAGTGTGATTTCAGGCTGCAAGACTCTGTTCTACTGGTATGAGGCCACTGGGAACAAACCATACGTACAAAATGGTCTGTCACCTGCCCTGAAAGGAAATGAACCTCTCCTGTACAGAGCATATTACAGGAAAAGGCTTTTGAACTATACCAACTTTAATCTCATACTTAATCTACTGTACACAAAGGTTTTATGAAATGCTTTACCAACATCAGCTAATTAATCCACACCCTGTGAGGTAAGCCCACATAATTATCTCTGCAACAAGACTTGCAAAACTGGAGCATGGGTGAAGAGTAAATACTAGTAATAACAATTACAAAGACCGCTGCTAATATTTATTGTCTGTTCTAGGCACTTGATACATTTTAGTTAACTCTGATATCTGCTGAAGGCTATAATAAAGGTATTTTGGGTTGAGCATAAGAATGTTCTTCCTCCAACAAGTAAACTTCTGAAAATTTACGTTTAGAATTAGTGGAAACTGTTCATTTGGTAACCAAGGTATTTTCTAAGGTGTAAAGCCAGCTAAGAAAATGCCTTAATTTGGAAACATAAATAAAAACGTTAAGTGCTGTTTATCTATTATCACATTTCATCCTTACAATGTACCTATGGGGTAGGTACTATTATCCTCATTTTGCAAATGAGGAGACAAAGGTTCACGAAGGACCCTAACTTTCTAAAATCACACAGCTAGGAACTGGCAGGCAAAGACTCAACTCGGATCTGCCAGACTCACAACCTAAAGCCCAAGTTCTTACCACTATGCTATTCCGATCCAAAGACCAAAACTGTACCCACTTAGTACCCCGCAGGGCCTGCACACAGGAGCAGAAATCCCACACTTTTCTAGCTGTAGTCCAGCGGAAGAGGTGGCCTAAAATTCAGATTCTAAATGGAGTTTCGTGAGCAAGATTCCTTTGACACTCTGGAACAGCTCTCTGACTACTATCTACGCTATTTGATGCCTCATAAGAATCCTTAAAAAAGATAACCTGACAAAGGGTTTACTGACAGCATCTCCTATGTTAAACAGAACCTCCAAGGCTGTTGCCAAAACCCGAAAGGAAAACTGAGCTTTTGGCAGAGGAATGTTTATCTTACTGGGGCACAGAGCGCTTACTAACTGCGACTGTCACCTGAAACCATCCCAAGGCCTCTGCGGGCGGCACCATCCATGGTGAAGAGGCCATGGCATGGAGAGGCTGGAAGCAGGGACAGAGGAAATCTGCTAGAGTCAAAGTCACAATGTAGGCATTTGCTTCGATTTATACCAAGTATACAGTCAGAAATGTTGCCTAAAGCCAAGCAGGTGAAAGCCTCGTCCATCACAGGGCTCCCACCAAGCTGGGGTCATGGGTGGCACTAGTTGAGGAGCCCTTGAAATGGGGTGCACATAGACAGCAGTGAGGAGAGCAGAAGGAACGAAGGATAGAAAGCTGTGCTTGGGGCGGGGCACAAGGGGAGGCCTGCTGAGGCCTTTGACATTATTCTGGGGGCAAGGAGGAAGTCCTGAGGCTCTTGGGCAGGAGAATGACAACGTCAGACATTAGGAGAAGAAAAACCATGTGTGGCTGTGGTGGAAGGGAAATACCAAAGCGAGAGAATGGCAGGAGGGTCAGGAAACCATTTGTAGAAGTCAAGAGAGAGATAAAAAAGGGTCTGAGCCTGAAGCAGAAAGTGGAGAAGCTGGCAGAGATCTGTGAGGTATTCCCGAGGTAAAAACAGCAATATGTAATGAGTGAGGGAGGAGGAGGAGCAAGGAAAACCGGCTCTAGCCTGGAGGACCAGACGGAGGACCGTGCCTTAGCTAAGGAACTGAGCAGGGGACACAGACTTGAGAATGACAATGAGGCATACAGCTGGGACGTGCTGATGGTTAGTGGAGATGTCCCGAATCCAGTCCTTCACTTAACACCTACGTATCAAACACTCAACAGGGCCAGGCAGGGTGCTGGGCATTGGAGACAAAGAGAATCTGCTCTCAGAGCTCACAGTCCACAGAGGGACAAGAAACCCCACTCACTACACCTTCAGTGCTCTGACCACGTGTACAGGGCATGTGGGCACGGGTGAAGGGCGCCTTGGTCAGGAAGGGAGAGAGGGGAGAAAGGAAAGATGTCAGAGACACCTTCTCAGACGTGAGTCAGTCTTAAAGCCAGGAAGGCCATTTGGCAGGGCAAGGGGTTGACGGGGATTCCTGGCAGTGGAACAGTACAGCAGTCCTGAGATGTGTAGGGGGCCTGGCACATTCTGGAAGAGACAAAGATGAGGTTAGAGAACCAGGCTGACGCTGGTGTGTGTGCCCTGCTGGGGAGTTTCAACCTCTGCCTTGTGGTTACAAGGAGCCACAGAAGCGTCTGAAGACAGGGAGGCAAGGGGGGTTTGGACGTGCTTGGTTTGGCTACAAGGTGGAGGAGGGACTCAAGGGGGAAGAGACTGCCCTGCAGACAGCAAGATGGATGAGGAAAGGATGCAACAGCTCAGGAAAGAGCTGAGAACTCACTCTCCACAGCGACAACAGGCCAAAGTCATTTGAAATAAAGACCTAGCGACAAGGGCTAGAACAGATTCTGAAATGGCCAGGCTTTGCTGAAGTGATCTTGTCCACGGGACAAACAGAGACTAACCAAAGGAGGATTCCAGCGGAATTTTAGGGAATGCCAAGACTTAAGGAGCCAGCAAAAGAGTGCCAGGAAAGGAGAACCAAGAACGCTGGGCAGAGACTAGGGGGAGACCTGGGAGAGATCTTGGCATGGAACCAAAGGAAGATAGTCAAGGGGGCATTGTGAGAGGAGTCAGGTGTGGTCTAGGGGCAGAGGGTGGAGAGAGGTTGCGACCGAGGCACTAAGCAGCCCCTGCTGCGCAGTGGGGAGGGAGCCTAGACTGGGGTGGCTCGATGAGTGGGTATCAAATACCCAGCCAGGAACTGAAGAAAGCAAGTAAGAAAGTCAGGATCAGAGGCCCAAGCTTTTATTTAATCCAAATAATAGTCCCAGTGTACTGCGCCACCGTAACTGTTATTATCTGTCTCAGAAGATGGTTACGTTAACACCAAGGGCACTTCATGCCAGGGACTGATTTCAGCACTTTACAGGTATTTAACCCTCACAACACCTATGAAATGGTTGCTATTATGGCCTCTGTTTAACTGATAAGGAAACTCAGACAATCAAGTGACTTGCCCAAAGTCTCACAGCAAGTGGCCTAGCCAAGACTGGAACTCAGATCTGATGAGTCCAAGGTCACACACTTAACTCCTAGACCTAAGTGAATGAGCCTAGCCCGGAATAACCTTTCATACCAACTTGAAAGCCTTGAATGCCAGCACAAGGAAAAGCTGTAGATCCCACATGCAAACCAAGCGCAGGAACCCAGGCCTCTGAAGGTGTTTCCAGAAACCACTGAGGCTCTCACTCCTTAAGTTACATACATATTTCTTCCCAGTCCATCATATAAAACTCAATTTGACCAGTTCAGGGCTGTTAAAATGCACTGATTAAAACAATTATGGATAAAAACTAATTAAACAGAGAAGTTACTCTGGGACACAGAAAGGAATTGGCTCCCACCTCTAACATACTATACAAAGCTGCTGGGCTGATAAATGGGGGTTGTTCTATAGTGACAAGAACAACCTGTGAAAGCTCCTACTTCCTTGGCCTCTGCTGCTGTTTCTGGAGACCAGTATGTCAAGACTACAGCACAGTGGTTCAGAGAGAGTGCAGGTTTTGGAGTCAAAAATCTGAGTTCAAATTCTGGTTCTGTCACTCATCAGCTGTGTGACCACAGGCAAGCTGCATAACCTCTCTGAGTCTTAGCTTCCCCATCTGTAAACACACATATACTATAATAATACCTCTCCTTTGTTGCGAAAGCTAAATGAGACCATACACAGGAGATGCTTAGCCTGGTGTGTGATACATTTATGTGCCTAACAAATGGAGGCTGTTTTTATTATTTTTATTATTAAAATATATAGTTCTGCCTCCATCGGCCTCCCATATCCTTCTCCCTCCCCATCACAAGCTCACGCTCCCAGATGCCCATGACTCTCATTTTGTTTCCCAATAGGTACATTAACTCACTTAGTTTGCTATCTATATATATCATTGTTTCTAAAGAAAATATTTTCTTCTTTATAATACCAAATTTATGAATATCTTCCCTTTGAAGTATTTTACTCATATCCCCTCCCACTGTCTCACCCCAATTTGCGAAGATACTATTCCCACCTCCAGTGTGGGCATTTCATGTAGGATTAGTAGTTCTGTACTCCAAAAGGTTTGGGGGAGAAGAGTTGCAGAGATGGGATTACGTTTGAGTATGCCTGCTTTGCTGAAGGACAGAGAAAGAGCCTTAACCATGGTTCTCACTTCAAAGAATTCCACCCAAAATGTACTTAAAAAAATAAGCAACCAAAACAAACAAAAATTCCATCCAGACTGAAGGCACCAACTACAGAGCTTGTCATCTGTTGGAGGACAAAGACAGGTTCCAAGAGTTGGCAGGCTTCACTAACACTCCCGGGAACATCATATGACCTGCCCATTTTCTCAGTACAACACCTGAGAGGAGACGTAAGATTACCTGGTAAGTTTCATTGTAAGATCCTAATAAATCCATTTCTAAAAGATTTAAAAATTTTTAACCTCTCTAGGAAAGAAACAAAGTTATGGCAGATATACAGAATCAAAACAAGTACATCAAATGTATTAAACACAAAATTTGAGAAGATTTAACTGAGTATGTATACATACGCTTCTGTTCAGACACTATGGAAGTTTTTAACGTCAATAGTTTGAAAGATAGCAGATCTAAGTAACTGGTCTCTGCTTTACTAACGCATGAGAAATGCGTACAGCTTCCTTCATTCAAATGACCCACAATGGAGCACTCGGTTCCCACCACGTGCAAAGGCACACCTGAGTTAAGAGACCAGACGTGACTCCACGACTGCTGTAAAATGCTGAAAACAGCTCATGGCCTATAGCTTCATTCTAGCACGTAAGCCAAATAAAATGTACAATTTCCTCAGAACCAGCTACAGTCAGCAAAACTGCTCACAGAACTTTCCTCTAGCCTTTCTCCCTCTTCCTCTTTCTAAAACTAACGTCCAAAAGACATTCACTAAATCAGAATCCAGAAATTTACATGTGGCCTCAGCTAAAATACCGTTTATGAACATTTATCATTTATCAGCAGCATAAACTTGGTTTTTAAAATCTAATAATGAAAATAAACACCTTGCTAAGTGCCTCTGTTTTTAAAAATGAAATTATAAAACTCTATTAATCTAATTCAACATGTCTAGGTATAAAATATTTAAGAAACAATGTAAAATAAAACCAAGAAAACATAACTTAGGGAAAAAAGTTGAATAAAAACATTGAGAAGTATTACTATATATACGTGAGAGTGTGTGTCTATCTATCTATATATATATAGACAGATAGACACACACACATACATAAACATATGCACATATACATACATACACATGTATATATGTGTATACACACACATATAAACAAACTGAGCCAAAAGAGGTCAGAAAAGTTTTCTTTTTTAATTAAAAAGAAACAAAACACCTAAGCCTTCAAATAAACCTGAAAAACCAATTGACCCTGACCCAGCCGATCTGAATGCCACTGACCACGGCTGGAAAGTGTCGCTGAGTCTGGCAGCACTAACCAGACGTTCTCGCTTGCCTCTGCTGCAGCAAACGCCGAGGCAGGAGGAAGGGTTTCTGGCCAGTAGGAGAACCCATGTGATGATCATGTGGTGTGAATTAAAAGCCGTTACAGCCTCTTGGAATGCAAGACCCACTTAATTTTGGCAAAATGTAGTTTTCTGGCTCAAAAGAAAAAACACACAAGAGAGTGTTTGGACATCTCTAAGTAAATGAGTCTGACAGACATAAAAGGCAGAACAGTCTCTTAGGAGTGGCAGAGACACAGTCCCTAAGTCTTGGGACTCTTAAACCTTAAACAAGAGACAAACCATTTAATGACAATATTCAAATTACTGAATAGCAAGCAAGTTCAGCTATGAGCCCAGTAAAAAAAACTTCTATTTTCTTAAATTTTGAATATTTAGGGAAAAATACAAAAACATACAATATGAATAAATAGGGCTTAAAGTTGACAAAGTATGTCCCCTTCTCTGAATGTCTTATCAAAACAAGAAAAACCACAAATGAGCACCTGATTCTTTTGGTTGTTAAAATCAGTTCCAATTAATAAGTTATACTTGTATAACACAGTA